CATTTGACTCTTTGGTCGTTCTCTTCTTTTTTCTGAGTACTTTCTCCTTCTTTTCCTCCTACTCTCTGCTACTCACTCCTTCTGTGACACTGATCTTCCTGTTTGACCCACCAGTTTTTCTCTCTGCCCCCTTTCCAGGATCGTTATCCACAGTCTGTCCCTTATATGTATCCCAGGTTTCTGTTTTATATACCCTCTTCTGTTCTTTCTGCATACTTTCTTAGTGATCTCATCAGTTCCCATGAGGTTAAATTCTTATTGTCATGTACATGATCCCCAAATATTTATAACTAGTCCTAATCTCTAGTCCTGCATCTCCAGCTGCCTCTTGAACAGCTCCACCTGGATGTTCCATAGACATTTTAAACTCACTATGTCCACAGTAGAACTTATTAGCGTCAGTCCTAAACTTTCCTGTTTCTGTCAAAGGCACAGCCAGACTTCTAGTTACCCAGGTTTGTAACTTAGGAGTCAATCCTTGACTATTCACTCTCATTCAAATTCCATATCCAGTCATTTGCCAAGTCTTAAGGATTTCTACCCCCTCAACAGCTCCCACACTCATTCCCTTCTTTGTACTTACACCATAAGCACCGGGCCCTCATTAATTCTCACCTTGACTATTAAGTTTGAATTTATTCTTGCCTCTTTTTAATCTAGCCTCCACAGCTGCCAAATAGACTTTTTTTTTAGTATTTCATTTTTCTCCGGTTACATGTAAAAACAATTTTTAACATTTTTTTTAAACCTTTGAATTCCAAAGTCTCTCCCTTCCTCCCTTCCCATCCCCCCTCATTGAGAAAGTGATCAACTTGATGCAGGTTATACATGTAGTGATGCAAAACATATCCATAATAGTCATGTTGTGAAAGAAAACATAGACAAAAGAAAACTGAAGAAAAATAAAGGAAGTAAAAAAAAAGTGTGCTTCAATCACTATTCAGACACCATCAGTTCTTTCTCTGGATGGATAGCATTTTTCGTCATAAGCACGTCAGAGTTGTCTTGGATTGTCATATTGCTGGGAGTAGCTAAGTCAGTTATAGTTGATCATCTTATAGTATTGCTGTCACTTTGTACACAGTACATTTCACTTTGCATCAGCCCATGCAAGTCTTTCCAGGTTTTTCTGAGAGTATCCTATTCATTATTTCTTGTAGTACAATAGTATTCCGTCATAATCACATACCGCAACTTGTTCAGCCATTCCCCAATTGATGGGCATCCTCTCAGTTTCTAATTCTTTACCCCCAGAAAAGAGAAGCTATCAACATTTTTGTACATATAGGTCCTTTTCATATGGACATTTCTTTTTTTTTTTTAATTTTTTTTTCATATGGACATTTCTAAAGCATGTGTCTGACCATGTCACTCCTGTACTCAAGAAGATTTAGTGTCTCCCACTGACTTTAGAATAACCTGCAGACTCCTCTGTTTGGCTTTTAAACCGCTCACTCCAACTTCTCTTTCTAGGCCAGTTACATATCATTGCCCATCATGAGCTGTATCCCAGCCAAACTGGCCTGTTTGTTGTTCCCTGGATGTAACATTCCACAGCCTTTGCACAGGCTGCCTCGCGTGCCTTCAGTGCTTTCAGTCTATCTGCCTCTTCTCCCAAAGCACTTTTATATGTATCTTGTATTTACTTATCTGGGTATATGTTGTACCTCGTCAGAAGGATGTAAGCTCTCAAGAGCAGGAAATATCTCACTTTCATATTTATATCCCCAGGATCTGGTAGTAGGTGCTTAGTAAACGCCTGTGTTTTGATCAGTTGATTGGTCAGAAGAGAAGATGGGTGGGCCACCTAGTAAGAGCTAGAAATAACTTGATGGACGACTTTTGTGATTTGTTGTTCTTGTTACATCAAAAGAATTTAAAGAAAGCATCTAATACATGGAGTGGTCCTCGTGTAATGAATTTATATGACATGGACAAGTATTGCACAGAATGGGCAGGTAAGGATGAGTTTCAATCTGTGTTTTTATAAGTTTTACCCAAATTGATGAGATCACAGGTTTCTTGGAGTTAACACGTTTAAATGAAGTGGGAGTAGGGGTGAGGGTTGAAGGTGATTGAGGGCATAGAAGTGACCTGAGCCCATTATAAACTTCTGGGAAGGGGGGCATTTTTTCCCCCATTCTTTTGTCTTTGTGTGTGGTCTGTATAGTGATTGTCCACAGTAAGTGCTTAGTAAATGCTTGTGGACATAAATTTAGTGATACTGTCAGTCTCTCCAGTGAATGAGAAGGCCTTTTAAAGCATTGCTCTTCATTTCTGATTTCCCTTTGCCTCACTGCTTTCTTACCCTAAAATATCCTTGTGCTTTTATGGGAATGCTGGGAATTTGAAGGGCTGCCTTGCTGTTCCCTTATTTCTTTTCTTTTCTTTTTTTTTAAAAGGCAGTTGGGGTTAAGTGACTTGCCCAAGGCCACACAGCTAGTAAGTGTCAGGTGTTTTGTCTGAGGCCGAATTTGAACTCAGGTCCTCCTGACTTCAGGGCTGGTGCTCTATCCACTGCACCACCTAGCTGCCCCCCTTGCAGTTCCCTTAAAACCACCTTTTGTCATTGTCTTGGATTCTGTAGAAACCAACCCACTTCTGTATTCCCACCTCCTACTTACCTCTTTTTTTTTTTAAATTTAATACATCTAAAAGAAATTTATGATTTACAAATTTGTGATTTAAATACGTTATCTCAATTGATTCTTGCAGTACCCCTGTGAGGGTAAGTAATGCTTGTATTATTATTGTCATTTTCCAGAAGAGGGAACTGAGAATCAGAGGCTTTAAGTAAATAGACAGGTTGGCTTGAGTCCTCTTCCCAATCTACCAAGCAGTCAGCTATGAATTGATGGTAGGCACCATGGTTTAGTGAATGGAGTCCAGTGGGTTTGTGGTCAGAGAACCTGGGTTTGAATTCCTTCTGCAGATGAGGCAACTACATTTTTGGGTTCCCTACCAATATTACTTACATGAAGATAGGAAATCAGTCAATCAACAAAGTTTTATTAAAGGCCTACTATGGTACCAGGCTCTGTACTAGGTATTAAGGGTACAAAGACAAAAGTAAAAGTCCCTGTGTTGAAGGAGCTTATATCATTAGTAGAGAGTTAGCTAAGTGACATAGTTAGAGGGCTGGGTATGGAATCAGGAAGACTGGAGTTCAAATCCTACCCCAAAATCTCACTAATTGTATGACATTTGGTAAGTCATTTTATTTCTCTTGGCCTTAGTACGCTCATATGTAAAATGGAGTAGCTGGACTAGGTAAGATCCAAGATCACATTCAGGGATGTGATAGCAAATATTCATCTACAAGCTCTTAGGAAGGGAGGGGGGATGTACCCTAGACATACTTTTAAATTTAATCTGCATTAATTATATTTTCTCTATCACTTTCTTAAGTCTCTAGACCATCAAGCAAAAAATAAACAACAATCCAATGATGAGCAAAGTCAAGAGAAACAGTAAATCAAGTCCTTATTTGTAGCATTTGCTGATTTAGTAAATGTAAATGCTTGTGCCGCAGTTGACTCATTGATGCTGGCTCCAGCACAACCCTGCTTCCAGATCTGAATCTTTCAAGCGCTCTGCTAGGTGTTGAGGATACAAAGACATAAATTCCTGCCCTCTGGAAGATTACATTTTATAGAGGGAGACAACATATACATAGAAAAGCATATGCAAAAGATGGAGACTTGGAAAGTTATCCATGGAAGGGAAAGGAATTTGCAGTAATTGATCCAGAAATTAATATTGTTGTTGTTTAGCCATTTAGTTATGTCTGGCTCTTCGTGACCCTGTGGACCAACCATAGCATGCCAGGCGCTTCTGTCCTCCACTTTCTCTCAAAGTCTGTCCAAGTTCATGTTTGTTGTTTCCATGACACTATCCATCCGTCTCATCCTCTGCCCTTCCCTTTTCTTCTGCCTTCAATCTTCCCCAGTATCAAGGTCTTTTCCAATGAGCCCCATCTTCTCATCATGTGGCTAAAATATCTAAACTTCAGGTTCAGTATTTGACCTTCCAATGAATAGCCTGAATTAATTTCTGTAAGTATTGACTGATTTGCCCTCTTTGCTCTCTGAGGGAGCCTCAGAAGTTTTCTCCAGCACCACAATTAGCATCAGTTCTGCAGCGCACAGCTTACCTTATAGTCCCACTCTCACAGCCATACGTTGCTATCAGAAAAAACATAGCTTTGACTATATGAACTTTTGTCGGCAATGTGATGATGTTTCTGCCCTTACTCAACCATCCTTCCGCATGGAGGGACTTTGGTCTCCATTAGTACAGAGACTACCTAATGCTGATGAATATTTCTTGGAATATTGAAATAATAAGTATTATTTTTGCATATTTCCTGGAAGTAAAGGTTCTGATGTTTACATGGACCAATTTGATGGAATTATTAATCTATTCTTCTTCCCTTTATTTTTTCCTGTAGTTTGGAATTTATAGAGTGGGGTGCACAGAGCATACAATCCTCACTTGGCTCAGGGGCCATAGAAGTGTAGGATTGGGCTGAGACTCAGGACTGTTGGATTCTTGCCCCTCTGTGGTTATTGAGTAATCCTGGCTAGTCTGTATACCAGCTGCCGAGGTTATAATACCACAGCGGACAAATGTAATTTATCCTTTTATTTGTGAATGGGTGTGTGTGTGTGTTTTATGTGTGGGTGCTTTGAGCTTGAATGACAGGGAGCAAAGAATCTATTTACCCTTTTCTCAGGTTACAAGAATGGCAGGTGGAAAGTAGTTCCTGAAATGCCTTCTCCTTTTCCCCTCTCCCCACCCTCCCCCTTTCTGCAGATACTGCCTTCATTTTATTAAGTCTCTACTTGAATGTGAGCCTAGTATTGGTGACAGCTGCTTCGTGTATGGTTTTGGGATTATTGCTACAAATGAATGTCTTCTCCTTTTATGTTCAATGTGTTCTTTTTCTTAAAAAGTTGCTGTGGGGGAGAATTTTCATGTTGGTTTTATCTTCTTTTCAGGCACTTTTAGTAAATAACATCACTGAAAGTGAGAAACTCATCAGGAATCTGAAAGGTATTTATTTCTTCTACGTTTGCCTGAAGGCTGTCCAACAAAGACCAGCCTTCCCTCTTGTGATTTTTTTTGGGGAGTATTGCCATAAGGCTTGGAGTTTTGGGGGGACATTCTGTTTTAAAATATTCAGTGCCAGTGGAATTTAATATATACTTAAAAAGAAAAACAACCTGCCCATCAAAGAGATTTGTAGTATCACATACTTTTTTGGTTCTACTTTGTTAGTGGAAATGCCCATTTTATTTGATATTTAAATTCACAATTAAAAATAAAAAAAGAGTTTTGTCCTTTTGTCTCTAGAAATCACCTGGACGCATTAGAAATTCTAGTATTTTAGCCAGTAGAAACTGAGATGAATCTAATCAGTTAGCATCACAATGAAAATATATGGTTCAAATTATTAGCTGTTTATTTAGTTGTTGACCTCCAGCAAATCACTGAAAACTCTCTGGGCCTCAGTTTTATCATCTGTAGAAAGAAGGGTTGGACAAGATAGCCTCTAAGGCCCCTTTAAGATCTGAATCTATGAATCTTATTGACAAGAGATTTAGAATTAAGAGTATCATAAGTTGAAGAGACATGACCAGCCCGTAATATAGAGGAGGTGTGCCAGTGGTGGTAATTTGGCTACAATGTTTCTATTCAATAAAATAAAATATATTATTTGTACTAGTCTGAGCTAATATAAATGTTTTTACATTTATAGTAGCAAGATAACCTGATTTTAGATTTGGAAAATATGGTCACTGTATGTATTATGTTTATTTTTATGAATTAATGATAGAAAACAAGTGATCTCCCTTTCACTTACTAACTGTATGACCTTGAACAAGTCACTTAAGCCCTCTGTGACTTATGTTCCTCATCCATATAGGTGAAGGGGTTGGATAGTGGCTTCTAAATGTCCTTCCAGCTCGAAATCTATGATTGACTTTTTTTTTTTTAACATCTTAAAGAAGAATTCAGGCCTCCTGCTTATGGATCTTTCTGTTTTTTAATTACCATTTAAGTGGAATATCCTGAACACAAATTATCCCCCTTTTTATTTAGTAAGGGCTCTTGTTCTTATAGGCCCATCTCTTTGTTGCTTTAATTAAATTCTGCTATTTGTAATTAGTTTTTCTCATGACTCTTGATGTAATTATAAGGAAGTAAATGCCTCAAAGGCCTTATAATTGCTATATGGAATTTTTGCCCTTGGGTGCTCTTCATTTGACCTTAGAGATTTTGGGATCATTGTTCCGGAACTAAAAGGGACCTCAAGAGGTCATCTAGTTTAAGTCCCGAATTTTATAGATGAGAAAACTGAGGCCAAAGGTAATCAAGTGACTTGCCCAAGGTCATGTAGGTAGAAAGCATCGAAGGTAAGGGTTTAACCCCTGGTTCTTTGATCAAGAGTCTAAAGTCTCCATTTTGTAGAAGAAGAAGCTGAGAGAACAGAGTTGTAGGGACCTGCCTGGGTCACACTTCTAAGAATTCTAAGAACTTTGGGTAGCTGAGAGTGGAAAAGTCATGGGGAAATTGTGAGGTTGTGTAGTAGTAGGGTGGAAAGCATGTTGGAAGGAGACCCAGAAGACCTTGTTTCTTGTCCCAGCTCTTCCCCTAATTATCTGTGTGCCCTGAGACAAGTCAGTTCATCGCTCTAGGCTTTAATTCTCTCATCTATAAATTGAGGACATTGGACCAGTCGACCTCAGTGGTCCCTTCCAGCTCTAACAACATTTTACAGCCTTGGCTCTTCAGTGTGGAATGCAGGATTTTGTACTACATCATTCTTTAATCTGTTTTTGTAGTCCCCAAGATCATCAGAGTGCCTTGCATATAAGAGACATAAGCTAGATAGGATCATAGGTTTAGAGCTTGAAGGGTCTTTTAAGGGTCATAAAGCCCAGCTCCTTCATTACAGATGGGGAAACTGAGGCCAGACTTGCCAACTGGCACAATTCAGGTCCTCCTGACTCCGAGTCCAGCCCTCTGCCTCTCATGTCACTCTCCTTATGCTGGTATGTTGCTGCTCCTGTTTTCCCATGGAGCAAGCAGTGTGGCTTCTCTTCTGTTACAAGCAAAGGCTCAAGAGAATGGGGTGGGGGGCGGGGAGGGAAGTGATCAATTTCTTTAAAGGATACATGTCAGCTTCCAGATAAGATTGTTGGGTGAATGATTGCTAACCCAGAACCAGAGGAAAGCTTGGATTTAAATAAGTTGGTTGGTAGCTGTCCTTTGTGTTCCAAGAGGACCAAAATGACGTCACTATGTTGGTGTCAGTTTAAATGAGTAAAAAGAGAACATTTATTTATTTAAATACTCAACCTGCATTGTAATACATTTCTTTGATTTATTTAACCATTTAAATAAGAAGAGCTTATGTGAAAATATTTGGGTATTTAAATAGGTAGAAGGAGAATAACTAAGTAACTGATGGTAGCCCTCTTTGTGGAGACTGTTTGGCTCATTTGGCACAATAATAAGATGGGAACAACAAAAACAGCTACTGGCATTCCTAGAACTCTTTTAAGATTTGCAAAGGTTTACATATGTTATCTTTGGGGGAGGGTAGGTGCTGATATCATCCCCATTTTACAGAGGAGGAAACAAAGCGGTTAAGTGACGTGCCCAGGGTCCTATAGCTCCTAAGTGTCTGAGGGGAGATTCAAACTTGGCTCTTCTTAACTCCCAGTCCAGTGTTTTACCTGCTATCCTACCTAGCCTCGCTACCTCTAATCCATTTAAGGAATACACGGAGGAGAAGTTCAGCCTGGGGTGGGGAGGGAGTGTGGGATTCAGGTTCATGGGTACAATCTCACTTTCTCCATCCTATGTGGCTGCTTTGCCTATGAAGTTTCCTCATGCGCTTTAGCCTTGGTAGGAGTAGAAGGGACAGGCGGAGGTATTCGGAAAAGAACTCGGATCTTTCTGAAAGCTGACCTGAATAAATAAAAATAGGTGCTGGATTCCATCCTCCAAAAGCAGGAACCCTTAGGAATTCAGTGATTAAATGTGACAAATAGAGATGGCTGGGGTGGGCAGGAAGTGGGGCTGTCATCTCCCTTGCCTTCTTTTGCTTTTGCTTACTATTTCCCCTCCTCTTCATCTCCCACGTTTGTACCTTGCTTTTTGGAATACTGCTTTTTTTCCTTCTCTTTTGCCTTTTTGTGTGTGTTTGTTACCTGGGACCTGTGATGTTTTAGTCATCGCTGCTCTTGATTCTTGGCACAGAACATTTGCAAGACTTGCAGAAGAACTATGGCAAGCTCCAACAGGACATACTTCAGTTTCAGAAGAACCAGAGCAACCTGGAGAGGAAATTCTCCTACGATCTGTAAGTGTATTTATCAAATGCAAGCACAGGTGCTGTTGGAAATCCAGAAGCATTTTTTGAAAATCACAGGAAAGCATGGTCTTGTCAGCTCGTTTGGTTAGAGCATAGGTAGACTGCAGAAGGATATAGCATTGTTTTGTTTTGTTTTGTTTTAGTAGGGGGAGTGATGAGGAAATTGGGAAAGGAAGGTATTTTATGTTAATACAACATGGAGAACAGACACAGATAAATGATTCCCCAGGGTCACATAGCTAATCAATAACTCAGACAGAACCAGGTCTGTGTTCTAAAAACTTGATTTTCTGGGTAATTAGGTTTGACTTATTTTAGAACATAATGAATTTTTAGTGTATGAAATAGTTATGTACTTAATAACAACATTTAGTAGTTTCAGACATATACTGACCTACCTTAAGTGTTATCTTCATACAAGGGTGTCTGCAGGCAAGAGAAAAAAACCTAAGTGTGTTAAAGAAAAATTTATTTAAATTATAAATTTAATAACAATTAACAAAACCAAATAATTTTGCAAACATATGAGATAAAGGATACAAATTTACACAAACCTTATTATTTCACAAAGCTGAATCAATCAAATTAACCAACAAAAGATTTTTTTCTTCTTTAGGTCTCTCTGAAGTTTTACAATCTTTGGCTTTGTTTTCTGTCTCTTTCCCCTTACCCCTCTTCTTAGTTCTCATTCTCCTGCCTTCATTAAAGCATACTGAGTTTTGACAGATAATTCTGGGTTCTTGGCTTATGCTTATTAGTTTTGGAAACTTTTTGTTTCAATTTTTGTGATTCTCTTGCCTTGAGAAATCTGCTGTGATCTTGGATCACTTTTTCTTGGTAAGTGATTTCCACTTTCTTGAAGCTTGCATTTTTTTCTTCTCTTACCTGTTATATAGTTCTGGACTCAGAAAAATCTACCCCTAGGTTTAAGGTAGCTTTAGCCTCCATCCGGTATGTTCTCTCATAGACCAAACCAGATTTAACATGTAAAATGAGTAAAAGATTTTTAATAAAACAGAACAGTCGAGGCAGGTAGGTGGTGCAGTAGATAGGGCTCCAGCCTTGGAGTCAGGAGGACCTGAGTTCAAATGTGGCCTCAGACACTTGACACTTACTAGCTGTGTGACCCTGGGCAAGTCACTTAACCCTGGTTGCCTCACCAAAAAGTAAAACAAGCAAACAAACCAAAAAACCCCAATAGAATAGTAAGATAAATAGTAAAGAAAAATTCCTTTACACACACGAGGACACATTCTACCACAGATTCCCATGCTGCTAGTAGAAGAGATAATACCTCTTGCCTTGGATAACTTGTGTTCCATGTTTTGCTCTTTTGACACATCTCTTTGATTTTATAACTGCTACTTGGGGCCATCTCCAGTTGTCCTGACCTATATCTGGCCCTATATCTGGCCAGATGGCTCCGGAGGAGAACGTGAGGCTGGTGACTTTGCACAGCCCTGCCTCACTTAAATCCAAGTCACTCGCAAGTCATGGCATCATCTTCCTGATGTCATGGTCCTCTTCGAGAAGGAAGGATAAACCACACAACTTAGCTGGGTTGCTTCCTTCACTGTTGCTATCATCTATTGATAATATTGTTTCTCTGCTCAGCTGCTTCTGGCATCTGTTGTATCTTCACAAAGCTGTCTTTGTGAGGCAGATCTTCCCATCCAAGGAGTCTCTCCTAACTCCTTTGTTACCTAGCCCATAGTCTTAGGTCTGCTTCACCTTTTTTGTGAGTCGGTCAGAGCTGCCTCTAGCCAGCATAGCAAGAGTCTCCCATGTTAAGTCAGTTTTCTCTTTCTTGCTTCCTCCTTTCTCTCCTCCTTTTTTTCTCTCCTCCTTTTCTCCTTCCTTCTCTACTCACCTGGAACTGCCCCAGGCTCACTAGATATTTGAGTCTAGATGCATATATTCCCTTCCACTCCCATCATGTCCCTAGCAGCCAGTGCCAGGGCCAAGTAGATGATCCTAGTGCCTTGCTTAACAGTATTGAAGCAGCGGAGTAGAGCTGGAGATCTTTATTCTCCTGCAGCTCCATCCAAATTGCTGTACCCTTTTGCAGTTATGTTGCTATGAAGTATCTAGATACGATAAATCTTGGCTTCTTCATTTTCTAGATCCTATCTATTATTTTTATTTATGCTTCACTGGGTTGATGTTTGGCCACTTTTAGGACATTTTACTTGATTTCCTATAATATAACATTCAAGTTTTTTTGTTTTTCTAAAATTCCAGGGATGAGTAATTCTTGAATTGCTGCATCACAGTTCAAATCTGTTACTTGAGTCTATGTATTTTCCAATAATTTGGATAATTTGGCTATCAGTTTTTTTTTTCCGAGCCCCTCACTATTTCTGCCTGTTCTGCGTTGTGTGAAATTCTGTTTAGTAATTTTTTCATTTACCTCTTACTGGACTTAGGATTGTCTTATTAGTGCCAATTCTTGCTCAGCTTCTTTAAGTGTGTTCCTTATCCATTTGAGGATGTATCTTGGCACGTCTTATATGGTTTCTTTTCCTATTTTTGTTGCTTTTAGTTCTTTAGCTTATTTAGTTGTCCTGCAGCATTTTTAATTGTTTTGGTGCACTTTCTCTCTTTTTTGTGTGTATGCGTTTTACTTGGGTTCTGTGTGTATGTGTTTCAGACATTTCTCTTCTCTGTATTTATTTTTTTGTGGTCTGTGTGAGAAATAACCTGCCTCCCAGGTTGCTGTCACGCCATCTTAGATCAGTAGTATGTTTTTGAGGTGGATTTCATAGTTGTAATAGAGAAGTACATAAGCTCATATAATATTATTCCTTAATGATGGGGTTGTGATTTTTTTTTGTACTTTTCTTTTGGGCTTTTTCCCTCTAAAGGAATCAGTGCATCAACCAAATGAAAGAGTTGAAGGAACAGTGTGAAGAGAGGATAGAAGAAGTCACTAAAAAAGGGAATGAAGCTATAGCATCCAGAAATCTCAGTGCAAAAAGTATTCTAAACAGTCCGGTGAGTCAGTACTTTGTCTGTCATGATTTTGATCAGTATTTACTCTTGGCATTTTCTTCCTTTTTTTCTTTCATTTCTGTGCTTCCCTGTTAACTGCAGTAGCCCTGTCCCTGCCATTTCCTGAATCAGTGGCAGATTCGAAACTAGCTCTGGCCTGTTCTGGATAACTTGCTACCTTGGGCACTAGATCAAGGGAACCCAGCCCTTTTCTAGTTTCTGTCACTTGACATATGCATTATTATGTTTGCAGCATGGTGAGGTGGAAAGAGCTGTCTGGATTTGGAATCAGAAGACCTGAGTTCAGCTGGTCTGGCCACGTACTAGATGTGTGACTTTGGACAAGGCATTTCACTTAGTCAGTGAACTTTTATTAAGCAACAACTATGTTCCAGGCACTACTGGGCCGAGTGCTGGGGATGCATAGGAAGGCAAAAGACAGTCCTTGCTCTCAAGGAGCTCATAGTCTAATGAGACTGGAAGTCACGGTAGAGAGGTCCCTGTATCTTACTTTTCTGGGACTCAGTTTCTTCATATCTAAAAAATGAGAGGGTTGCATTAGTTTGATATTATATATGAATCAGTGAGGGAGGGGCTGTGCTGTGAGCAGAAAATGACAACATACAAGCAATTATGAATAGATGAGATACATAGAGGATAGATCAAAGATAATCAGCAATAGGAAGACACTAATATTAAGGGAGATTGGGAAAGGTTCCTGTGGAAGGTAGAATTTTAGCTGGGGCTTGAAGGAAGCCAGAGAAAGCAGGAGAGAGAGAGGAGGAGGGAGAGCATTTGAGGCATGTGAGCTGGTGCAAATGCGCCAACAGGGGGTGGAGTGACTTGTTCAAGGAAAAGTAAGGAGGTTGGTTTCACTGGATTACAGATTACATGGTGGAACTTAAAGTGGAAGAAGAATGGAAATGTTGTGGGGAGGAGGAAGAGATTATGAAGGTCCTTGAATGCCAAACAGAATTTAATATTTGGTCTTGGAGGTAATAAGGAACCACTCTGGTTTACTGAATTGGGGAATGACAGTCAGATCTGCACTTTAGGAAGATCACTTTGACAGCTAAGTGGCAGGTGGGGACATTCAGCAGGCAGACCAACCAGAAGGCCATTGTAGTAGTTCAAGGTATAAGATGATGAGGACCTGCACCAAGGTGGTGCCAGTGTCAGAGGAGAGAAGAGGGCCAATGATGTTATGAGGTTATGGAGATAGAATTGTTAGTCTTTGTCAATAGATTGGATGTGGGGGGTGGCAGAGGGTGGGGAGTCAAGAATGATTCATTGCTTGAGAGACTGGGAAAGATGGTGGTACCCATAGGAAAGTTCGGAAGATTAGGAAGAGGGGAGGATTTGGGAGAAAAATAAGTTCAGTTTTGGACACGTTGATGTTATGATGTTTGTAGGTCAACCAGTTGGAGAGATCCAATAGGCAGTTGTCAATATGACACAGCAGAGAGGTCCCTGTATCTTACTTTTCTGGGACTCAGTTTCTTCATCTCTAAGAAATGAGAGAGTTGCATTAGTTTGATATTATAGATAAATCTTAACTTATCAGCAAGGGAGGGGCTGTGCTGTGAGCAAAAGTGAGGTGTGGGATATGGTGACAAAAATAAAGCTTCAAAGGCTCATCAGGTTGCAAGAAGGTGATGGATGGTCTTTAGCAATAACTAGAGACCTCTAAAACTTTAAAAAGAAATTTACAGTGGGTGATCCTTCCATCAAACCCAAACCTGGAGTGACCCGAGTTGTTTCTAGCGCAGAATGTCTCCAAGTTTCTGGTATAATTAGATTTTCCAGGTTCGTAGAACTCAAGGTGGCAGGACCTCAGAAGATGTCTAGTCCAACCTTTTCTTTTTATAGAAAGGGAAACTGAGGCCCGCTAGGGCAGTGAAGTGAGCTGCCCTTAGGTAGTGAGAGTCGGAGGTGATATTTGAATCCATGTCCTCCAAATCTAGAATCAGAGCTCCTTCCACCGTACCATGCGACTCTGGTCAGTTGTTATTCTCTTCGTGTTTCTGGCCCCAAAACGTATTCTACCTCCACCCGTGAGATGTTTTCTCATCTTGGAAACCATTTACTTATTCAGGGTAAGTAGTGATTTGTGAATGATTAGAAAATATTTCTTCCTTAGCTCATTTTTCACCCTTTGGGAAGGCGAATTGCTCTTTAGAAACAAGAACAAAAGGACCAAGTGGATTGGTCAGTTCTGAATAGAAATCAGATCCTATAATAACCAAGATAGTATCATAGTTCTTTTGTGCTGTTGGAATTTTTGTCGTGTGAATAGTTTTTGAAATATGTTGACCATTTTTCATACAAGAAAGGGTTTTTGTTATACAAATTATACCTATTTAGATAGCTGGTTTACGAGCCCCCTATCTTATATGACTCACAAGTTAATATCATTTGGTTCTCTGGATCAGAATTCAGGCTAGTCTTTCTGCTGTTTCCAAAAGACTTTGTTGTTCCTGATTGTTGATGACTCCTGTTGTTATCCCTGTACAGTTTTATATTAAATTTGACACGTGAGAGATCCTTAGAAATTATGGTTGAAAGTGACCTTAACTGTTATTCAGTCTAATCCTTCCCAAAAGCGTGAATCTTTTTTAGTTTTTTGAAAATTCAGAGGTTGGAGAACTGGCTGCTGGGTCCTCCACACCAGAAGTGCCTTGTGTTTACTTTGTATATCTTTTGTTTTTGCTTACATGTATACATGTTATTTTCCCCTAATAGATTGTACGTTCCTTGAGGGCAGGGATTGTTTAATTCTGTTTTTGCATTCTTAAGCATCTCAGGCATAGTACCTGGCATGCAATAGGAGTTTAATAAATGCTTATTAATAAATGCAATTTATGCAACTGTGGGTGTTTTAGCAAACTGCCATCCATCAGCCAGAGCCCAAGCAACGTGAATCAGAACGGAAGGAGGTAGGAGTGCGGCAGGAGAAAGGAAATATAGTTCCTGAAGGACCTATCTCTCCTTCTGAGAAGACCCCAAGTGTGATGAGACAAGAAGAAAAAGGAGGTAAGTTGAATCTAATAAATTAGATCTCTCCTGACCCTGTTTAGTTAAAAACAAACATATATCCTAGTAACCAAGTGGAAAGAAAATAGGGCACATTTCTGTGGTGTGGGCTCCCATCTCCATGGCTTACAGACTGGCCTCCATTTTGTTTTGTCACCTCTTGCCATAAGTCAGCAGTGAAAAAGGGCAGCTTATTCTTGGAACAGTTGTCCTAGATGGATTTTCTTTATCAGGTCACAAACATGAATAAAGATCAGCTTGGGCATAAATCTTGTTAGAAGGTGGATGAGTTCCATAGTGTGAGGGTCTCAGAGATTATTGAGGCCACGTGGAGTAGGTCCATGACTATTATAGAAGAGTATTGTACTGTGACAAAACAGTGGATCTGAAAAATTCCTAGAAACTTAAGGTTTATATGAATTGATCTAGAGTAAAGTAAGCAGAACCAGGTATATAGTATGCATAATAACTACAACAGTGTAGGTAGAAAGAATAAAAAATGAAATTGAACGTGATGGAATTGTAATAACCAAATGTGTTTAGAGAGGAGAGTTGAGAAAATGCACTTCCCTCCTTTCTTTGTAGACATAGGAGACTATGGATGTGGAACATTATGTGTACTCTCAGACTCCCTTTATATATAGGTTAGTTTTGCCAGGCTGTTTCCTCTCCCCTCCTTGTCCCAACCTTTTATTTTAATTGTTAGTTCCAAAGGATGGTTCATTGTGTAGGGGATGAGAGAGGGAGGGGGGATACATTCAGAAATGAGGGTGATTTAAAAAAAAAGGTATCAATAAAATTTTTTAAGTTGTTAAAGAAGAGTAGTGGGGCCATTAGAAGAAAATGAATGTGGCCAATCTGTTCCCTAGAATTGACTGAATTTTAGGTAGCTACTCTCTGGTAGTTCCCATATATATTTGCTCAGTCATTAAGGATTGGGGGTAAAAAAAAAAGAACAAAACACAAAACTAGCTAAGATGGTCATCACAAGACCAAACAGGTCCAAAAAAGGGTGTGACTTATCTCCCTTTTCCTCTCCCTCTGGCCATTTGTGGAAAGGACAGACTTTATGGTGTAAAGAGTTCCTCATTCTGAGCTTCCTGGGAAGGCTGTACAGGTTGAAGGAGGTGGGATTTGGCTTTTGAGCGTTTGTGATAATTTGTCTTTCAAGCAAACTGTGTCCTTCCTGCAGAGGAGACCAGTGACATCTTGACTCCCAGCCAAGAGGAGGCTCAGCGGGAGAACCAGGGAGGTGAGCTTTTGCCTGTAGAGCCAAGCAGAGAGCAGAACTCTAACAAAAAAGGCAAAGAAAAAGAGAGTGCTGAACTCGGAGGATCTGTGCAGACCCAGAAGGGGCCAGGTGGTCTTCTGGTCAGCCAGGAAAATCATGAAGCTGATGAGCCAGAGAGAGACGAACTCATCGATAGGGAAGACGAACAGGGCAAGCAGAGTGTTGCTAAAGATGGTGAGTAAAAAGGCTTTCTGGGTGAGGCTTAGGCTGGCATTTCCCCAACCAGGAACTTTCAGGTTCTTCTCTTCTTCACGGAATGGATTCTGTGAATTTTGCAGAGCATGTGTTGACATTTTGGTGGCTCCCCAGGAAGGAAGCAAGCAAGCAAACAGACAAGCTTTTATTGAGTATTTACTGTGTTCCAGGCACTAAACTAAGTGCTGGGATACAGACACAAACCAAAAAGACAGACATTCCCTAGCCTCAAGGAGCTTGCATTCTGATGGGGAAGATAGGGGGAGGGAGCTGAAAAGCTGAAGCAAGGGTGGACTAGGGAAGGGAGAAAGTATAGTAGGGGAGAAAGGCTTAGAAAATTTCAGCCTGGAATACCATAAGATGAGGGAGTAAATAGACCAGCATTGAGGGGAGGCGGTCTGGGCCACTTCAGGCAGCACAAATGTAACTTTTGTGGTGGTGGCAGCAGTGGTTGTTTTTAATAAAATGGCAGCGATGTGGTGAACTTGATTCTGTCTTCTCAGAGCTTGCTAGGCTCTCTTTTTAAGTATTAATTCAACCCTGTGAGTACTTTGAGGGCCTCCTGCTATGTTGGGGGGGTATATTCTTAGTTTTGAAATTTTGATTTATTATATCTTATTCCAGTTTCCATTTTAAAATCTAATATGGTTTTACTGTGTCACTTTCTTACACAAAAGCCTTATAAGCTCCCTATTGCCTATAGGATAAAATGAAAATAGCTTAGATTGGGGGCAGCTAGGTGGCGCAGTGGATAGAGCGCTGGCCCTGGATCCAGGAGGACCTGAGTTCAAATCCGGCCTCAGACACATAACACTTACCAGCTGTGTGACCCTGGGCAAGTCACTTAACCCCATTGCTTAACCCCCCCCCAAAAAAAAAACCCAATCAGAAAAGAGCTTAGATTGGCATTTAATGTCCCTGCCTTTCTAGTCTTATTTCACCTTGCTCCTCCTTCCCACTTTCTGTAGACGCAGGCCAAGCTGATTTGCTAGTCTCAATCTGGTCCTGTCCCACTGCTTTGTATTTGTACAGGCTGTACCCCATGCCTAGAACATACTTCTTCCGTAACTTTTTCTAGGTGTTTCAGAGGATCGCAGATTTAGAACTGGAGGAAGAGAGACCTCAGGGGCACTTAGTATGTCATCGGGACATTTCAGTCATGTCCAGCGCTTTGTGTCTCCATTTTAGGGTTTTCTTGGCAAAGATACTGGAGGGGTTTGCCATTTCCTTCTCCAGCTCGTTTTACAGATGAGGAAACTGAGGCAAACAAGGTTAAGCAACTTGCCCAGGGTCACACACAGCTACTCAGTGTCTGAGAGCAGCTTTGAACTTGTGAAGATGGAATCCTGATTCCAAGCCCCACTGTTCTATCCATTGAGCCATCTAGCGGCCCTGTGATTTAGTATAACTGCTTTATTTTACAGATGTGGAAACTAAGGCCTGTAGAGGTTACATGACATGCCCAAGATCACAGTAGGTCATCAGAGGCAGCATTTAAACCCATGTCCTCTTGATGAAAAAGCCAGTGCTCTTTGCATTATATTAAGATGTTTCCCAACTATACTCTTTCTTCAAGACCTTTCTTAATAATATAGTTGTCCCCCTCCCTCTTACATGAAGTTTCCTCTCGTTTTCATCACCTCTTTCCCTTCTTCTCTCCCCTCCCTCCCCCAATACTTTCTTGCAGTGTTTTGTCTGAACATCTGCCTCTTCTGTGATATAATACTCTCCTTTGTCCCCCAGTTGAGGGATGAGACTGTATCATCTTTCCACCTTTGACCTCCTAGCACATAGCAACATACCTTGGCATGTAATATATGGTTCTTGAATTTAACTGCTCTGGATCCCGGGAGCCCAGATTTTGAGTTAGAAGAGACCGTAAGATCACTTTACCCCTCGGGCCCTCATCTTCCTTATCTGAACCACGAGGAGTATGGAATAGATCAGAAGTGTCAAACATAAGGCCATGGCCCCCCTCTACACTCCTGAGTGCAGTACATTTTAGTCATTGGGAAGCATTTAACAAAATAGATTAAAAATATAATAAAACATGGATAATATTAATGTATGGCGTTTTTTTTCCCTCAAGTCAACATGAAACCCACAGGGATCCTTGTATGTTATGATTTAGTGGCTCCTTTTTCTATTTGCGTTTGGCACCATTGGATTCGATGACCTGTAAGATCCCTTTTGTCTCTATATCTTTGAGCCAATATCTGGTTTTAAATCTCTAAATCTTTTTTTTTCTTTTTTAACTTTCTAAAAATTTATTTATTTATTTTTAGCTTTCAACATTCACTTTCATAAGATTTTGAGTTCCAAATTTTCTCCTTTCCTTTCTTTCCCTTCCCCCTCCCCGAGGCAGCAAGCAATCTAATATAGCCTTTATGTGTACAATCATATTAAATATATTTACACATTAGTCATGTTGTGAAAGATGAATCAGAACAAAAGGGAAAAATCATGAGAAAGAAAAAAAAAAGAGAAAATAGTATGCTTTGATCTGCCTTCAGACTCCATAGTTCTTTCTGTGGATATGGAGAACATTTTCCCCATCATGAGTCTTTTGGAATTGTCTTAGATCATTGTATTGCTGAGAAGAGCTAAGTATATCAGAGCTGGTCATCGCCCAGTGTTGCTGTTATTGTGTACAGTGTTCTCCTGGTTCTGCTCACTTTATTCAACATCAGTTGATGCAAGTCTTTCAAGGTTTTTCTGAAGTCTGCTTGCTCATCATTTCTTATGGAACAATAGTATTCTATTATGTTCATACAACACAACTTATTCTGCCATTACCCAATTGATGGGCCTCCCCTCAATTTCCAATTCTTTGCCACCACAAAAAGAGCTGCTATAAATATTTTTATGCATATGGGGTCCTTTTCCCTTTTTATTATCTTTTTGGGATACAGACCTGGTAGTGCTATTGCTGGATCAAAGGGAATGCACAATTTTATAACCCTTTGGGCATAGTTCCAAATTGCTCTCCAAAATGGCTGGATCAGTTCACAACTCCACCAACAATGCATTAGTGTTCGAATTTTCCCACATCTTCTCCAACATTTATCCTTTTCCTTTTTTGTCATGTTAGTCAATCTGATAGGTGCAAGGTGGGACCTAAGAGTTGTTTTAGTTTGCATTTCTCTAATCAGTAGTGATTTAGAGCAATTTTTCGTATGACTATAGATAGCTTTAATTTCTTTATCTGAAAAAGCCTGTTCATATCCTTTGACCATTTATCAATTGGGGAATGACTAGTATTCTTATAAATTCAACTCAGTTCTCAAAATATTTTAGAAATGAGGCCTTTATCATAGATACTGGCTGTAAAAATTGTTTCCCAGCTTTCTGCTTCCCTCTTAATCTTGGTTGCATTGGCTTTGTTTGTGTAAAAACTTTTCAATTTAATGTAATCAAAATGATCCATTTTGCATTTCATAATGTTCTCTACCCCTTGTTTAATCATAAATTCTTCCCTTCTCCATAGATCTGACAGGTAAACTATTCCTTGCTCTCCTAATTTGTGAATCTTTTCTTTTTAGAGGAGAAAATGAAGACCTTGAGAGAAGAAGAGACTTGTTGATTGTCCCAAAGGGAGTGAGGAGAGGGAGAAGGCTCAGGGGGAGATGTCTCCTAGGGCAGGGTCAGGTTTGAGCCTCACACGTACACTTACATAAGTCATAGGGTCGTAGATTTAGAGCTGGAAGGTATCTCAAAGGTTTCCTCATCTACGTTTCAGTTCTAGAACCTTAATCATATCAATAACTGCCATTGCCTCCTTGAAAGAGTGTTCACCTATTTTCCAGCATCTCCACTAACTTTCCAAATCACTGTATCCTGCCCTGGTCATCATTCCCCTGTTTGTTTTTGTTTATTTTAAATATGTGGAAGTAATCATCATATAATAAAAAAAAAAAGATGATTGCACATGAAACTGCAAATCTAATTTGCTGTTCCTTTTAAATATATAATAAAATTATCATATAAATTTCTTTTTTTTCTCCCCTTCCCCCACCCTAGAGATGGCTACCATTAGACATGTGTGTGTGTATAAAATCATTCAATACATGCTTCTATTTATTAGTTCTTTTTCTGGATGTAGATAGTGTCTTCCTTCCTATGTCCTTTGTGGTCTCCCCTATTAGAACGTAAGTTCCTTGAGGGCAGTGACTGTATTTATATCCTTAGCACTTAGCACAGTGTTTGGTGCCAAGTCAGCCCTTAATAAGTACTTTTTCATTCGTCCATTCTTCTGAAGAGCTGCAATAAGCGACGAATAATTCAATTTGGTATGAAGCTCTTTGCAGTTTTGCTTAGTAAGCACAGTCATGCATGGGATACATTACACACTAGTAGGCCATTGATATAACAATGACCTGATCAGTCCTTTTGTGTTCAAAGTACACATTCATTCAACAGACATTTATCAAGCTCCTCCTACGTATGGATCATGGTGCTAGGGTGCTTGAGCAGATACAAAGTCTTGATAAGACATGGTGCTTGCCCTCATGGATCTTACATTCTAGTAGAGTGACAAGACTCCAGCTCATATATTAACTATAATATAGTTACGTAATGAAGACATTAGAGAAGTACAAAGCAGAGTACTGTGTGATTACATGTAGTAGAATCATTTGGTAAAAAGGCTGGTGTCTAGAGGTAAGGCATTGGCTTTTGATTGTATCTAGTTAAGGTTGTGGAAGATGTGGTTTGATTTGTGCGTGTTCAGGTCCGTGTTATTAAGGGCATTTACCAGCTTGATTCTGACCACCCCATGTTGTAGCTATCATGGTGACTACCTAATGTAGTTAATATAGCTAATTTTGATAGTATGACTAATAATCAAACAAGATTTTTCAACAAAAAGAATACTTTTAATGTGATACCTGGTGTTTTTTTTTTTCTTTTAGAAACATGTATGGATCCCATTTTGACATCTTAGCAACTTCAGGGATGCATATTTGTTCTCCTATTTTGTGAGCTCTTGTACCCTTCTCTGTCCCTTCCAAAAAAATGTTACATGGTGGGTGAACCTTTGATGAGCCTTTCTGAATTTAGCTAGGTCGAGCAACAAACAAACGAAATAAATACAGCTTCTCACTGGGCCTACACCAGAGGTCATTCTAGTAGGGTAGCACTTGCTGGACCTTAAAGTCCGCAGGAATGATCCTGGAAAATAAGGGATCACCACAAAGCCACAGTATGAAGTATGAGAGTGGGGTTGCAGCTACTGCAGATGAACAATGAACATGGCCCAGAATTGAATAGAAAGGAGGGAGAGAGTAGTCCAGATTGTTTTTGCAAGCTTTCTGAGATGGTCCCAAATGCTCTTTGATACACATACCCATTTATCTTAAGATACTCTGGTGATTTGTATAGGGCCATAACTTGTGGAATGTCACCAGTTGCTGCAGAATCAAAATTGCAGGTGACCCAAAGGGCAGCATATGACGAGCATTAAGTAGGCTCCTGTATATTATGAGTGATAACCTGCATTCAAGAAGTGAAATAAAAGTTCTCTCCCAGGAAATGCATTATCAGAGAAGGAGGTGGGCAGGTCATGTAGCAAGAACATGGGACAACTGCATGCTGCCCTAGGACCCCCAAATAGTGGGTGTGTTGGGTAGAAACTCTTTGGATGATTTATGGGAGGAGATGGTAAATGACTGCATAGGATGAGAAGGCATGTATGGCTTGCACTATGCACTGTTGGAGAGATTACCCTCTTGAGTGAAGTCACAGACTGATTGAAGTAAACAAATTTAAAGAAAATGAAGCAATCTGTATCCATTTTAATGTGGCTTTTATTCAGTCCTTGTTTCTGTATGCTGCTTTTATTGTCTCTTCTCTTGCGGAAGTAGGGATGCTAAGCATCTTGAAGGATATCATTCCATGCAACACAGCCCTTCATCCTTTGAAAAGAAAAAATACAACTTCCGGGCCATTTTACTTACTAACCTTTGTTTGGAGCGAGTAGGAACTATTCCTAAAGAGTGGCAACAGGGGGGCAGCTTATGTGGTGCAGTACATAGAGCTCCAGCCTTGGAGTCAGGAGGACTTGAGTTCAAATGTGGCCTCAGACATTTGACACTTTAACTAGCTGTGTGACCGTGGGCAAGTCACTTAACCTCGATCACCTCATCAAAAAGAAAAAAAAAATTAAAAGAGTGACAACTAGTATGAAATAAACTATTTCTCAAAGTAGGGTTCACCCCTTTTCCATTAAGCTTCTCCCCCTAAAAAATATTTAGTTAATTTCTGGATGACATTTTTTTTCACCATCTTCCTCACATGGAACGTGACTTTTAATTTATGGGGTTTTACAGATGCCGCATTTAAAGCTAAATAGGCATATGTATGTCCCAGAAGTATTAGTGCAAATTTAAAGCTTTTAATAACAAAATTGCAGTGAGACTTTTGGATACTCTCCATATCGATTATTACAGGGTACAGTTATTACAGCATTAGCAAGAAGGACTTGGCATTACAAGATTATTCAATCAGTAGTTTTTATTTCTTAGCATTCTATTTATAGGTAGTATGTATTGACATTCCTAAAGCACAGGTCTGACTCAAATTAGCCTGTTGCTCACTAGGTAGGTAACACATTTATTAAGTGCTTACTGTGTGCCAGGCACAGTGCTAAGCACTGGGGATATAAATACAGCCAGGTGGCAAATAGGATAGAGCATTGGACTGGGAGTCAGGAAGACCTGAGTTCAAATCTGCCCACAGATACTTCCTAGCTGTGTGAGCCCAGGCAAGTCGCTTAACCTCTGTTTGCCTGTTTCCTGAACTATAAAAGGGGGATAATCATAACACCTGTCTCACAAGGTTGTCGTGAGGATCAAATGAGATATTTGTGAAGTGTTTAGCACGGTGCCTGACACGTTGTAGGAGCCATATAAATGCTTATTCTCTTCCTGCTCGTTTTCCTTCCGATCCCCCAAATACAAGCAAAAAGGAAGACAGGTGCTGCTCTCAAGGAACTCATATTCTGAAAAGGGAAGGCAACACCTAAAAGAGGGCTGAAAAAGAGGGATGATGTAGATCAGGAGGGAAGGGACCTGTGGCATGGCATGGTGGCAAGTTCCATAGTCAGAAACATAGCCAAGAGGAGAAGAATAAGGTATGACCTGCCTGGATTTGCCCCTGAAACGGAGGGAGGGAGGCCCTGAAAGGAACTCGCCAGTGGGAGAAAGGGTGTGGCATGGAAGAAGTTCCAGGATCTTCTAGGGAGATAAGGCCCTGGGTGTTGAGGGAAGTTCCAGGATAAGAGGCGTGGGGGCAGAGTCCTTATAGTCATGAAGCAGAGCCAGTAGGGCAATAAACTCCAATACCACGTATCTCTAGGGTCAAACATAGGCTCGTAGTATTTCAGTTCTTCACAACTTGGCACCAGCCCAACTTATTCTACATTAGTTGCCTTAATACACTCTGTGTTAAGCCGTTTTTTTTTTTTTTGGATAAGCCAGTTTTCTTGCTGTTCCTTACACGTGACTCTCCATCTTTCATCTCAGGAATGTACTCTCTCCTCAGCTCTCTTAGAATCCCTAATTTCCTTCAAAGCTCAGCTTCAAGGGCTATTTTCTACATGAGGCTTTTCCTTGTCCCTCCATTTTGTATACTCCCCTCCCTCCCAATACCTTTTTTTTTAAAAGATATACTTTTATATACCCATAGGTTCACGGATCTATAACTGGAAAGTACTTCAGAACACCTCATCAAATTCCTTCTTGTTTACAGAAGAGGAAACTGAGTCTCAGAAACGCTAAATGATTTGCCCAAGGTGATACCAGTAGTACATAGCAGAAGTAGGATCTGAACTTTGGCCCCATGATTCCAAATTCATCAGGAAAGTTCAGAACTCTCTCCATTGAATCAGGTTTTTTTTAGGTGATTTTTTAAAATTAATTTAATATATTTTGATTTATCAACAATCACTTCCGTAAGCTTTTGAATTTAAAATTTTTCTCCTCTCCCTCTCTACCCAGGACAGCTTGCAATCTGATATAGGCTATACATATACATTCCTTTTAAACATATTTTCACATTACTGATGCTGTAAGGAAGAATTAGAACCAATAGGAGGAACCATCAGAAAGAGGAAATAAAACAAAAAAGAGCAAATAATGTGCTTCAATCTTCATTCAATTCCATAGTTCTTTGGATGTGGATAGCATTTTCCATCATGAGACTTTTGGAGATGTCTTAGGTCCTTGCATTGCTGAGAAGGGCTAAATTTATCAACATTAGTCATTGCACAATGTGGCTGTTACTGTGTACTGAATCGGTTTTTGATGATTGTTTTAATATCTTTACAGGAGTAAATCGGCCCAAACCAGGAATAAATGAGGATTACAACAATGAAGAAAATGAAGCCAAGTCTGAAAAAGACAAGCAGGCAGCTCTGGCAGGCAGTGATAACAATCTAAGTGGTAAGTGTTGTTTGGGGTCTGGTCCTTTCTCCTTTTATCCCTCTTTCTCCCTGGAATGGCTGACCATTTCAATCCAAATCGTTATCCTGTCAAGCTTAAACTTTTTGGGAGTACCTTCTTTCTTTCTTTCTTTTTTTTTTGCTAGGCAATGGGGTTAAGTGACTTGCTCAGGGTCACACAGCTAGTGAGTGTTAGGTTTCTGAGGCCAGATTTAAACGCAGGTCCTCCTGACTTCAGGGCCGGTGCTCTATCCACTGTGCTACCTAGCTGCCCCTGTACCTTCTGTTCTTCAAGACACTCAGCAGAGGCCAGTTATGTTTTTAAAAAGTAGATTTATATTGATATCATTCATTTTTACATCTCCTAGATTTCTTTCTATTTTCCTCCTGCTCTCCCCTCCCAGAGTCATGTTTTATAATAGTTAAAAAAAAAAAGAGAGAAATAGGAAAAAACAATTCTATAAAATCAATTACAACATTACAAAAAATCTGACATTATATGCAGTCTTCCATATCTGTGGACCCTGACCTCTGCAAAGGAGCAGGGGGGGAAGTATCTTCTCATAACTGTGGTCATAGCTCCTCTTTGGGGATTAAATAACCGAGAGTCCTTTATAATTTTGCAATGCTCAATTTCAGTCGTCTTGTAGTTCTTTCCATTTATGCTGTTGAACTGATCACATTTTTTAAAAAAATTGGGGAAGGGGGTAGCATTTAGAACCAAATTTCATGCCAAGGACTTCTATGGAGGTTACATATCGTGATAAGGTCTCTTTAGAGTTGTTCAGTCATAATGGATGGATTAATTCAGTGTGTTTATGTTGCTAATGCTCCTTAGATCAGGGAAAGTGGCCAGGACAGCTTGGTCCTGGGCACTCTACTCTTCTTCCTCTACACTATTTCACTTGGCGATCTCATCAGCTCCCATGGTTTTAATTATTATCTCTATTTTGATAATTTTCAGATCTATCTATCCCACCCTAACCTCTCTCCTGACCTCTAGTCTTATGCTTCTAATTGTCTTTCAGACATCTCAGACTGAATGTCTTGTAGACATCCTCATATTCAATAAACTCCAGTGGTTCCCTGTCAACTCCAGGATCAAATGTAAAATCCTCTGTGGTTCAAAGCCCTTCATAACTCAGTTTCCTCCCATCCTGCCCCGCCCCAACCTCTACTTTTCTTGTCTTTTTACTCCTTACTCTCCACCATATAGTCTTCCATCCAGTGATACTGGTTTCCTGGATGTTCCTCGAACAAGACCCTCCATCTCTAGGCTCTGGCTATTTTCTCTGACTGACCTTTTTGCCTTAAATGCTGTCCCTCCTTAAGTTCACCTGCTGACCTCCTTGGCTTCCTTGAAGTGCCAAATAAAATTCTACCTTCTACTGGAAGCTTTTCTCAACCCCTCTTATTTTTAGTGTCTTTTCTTTGTTAATTATTTCCTATTTATCCTGTGTGTAGCTTGTTTGTACACATTTGTTTTCTTTTTGTCTCCATTAGATTGTAAGCTCCTTGAGGGCAGGGACTGCCTTTTGCCTCTTTTTTTTATCCTCAGTGCCAGACATAGAGTAGGTCCTGACTAGCTTCCCATCACCTGTGCCCTATAGAATTAGGAACACAGTGAGACTGTTGGAAATCTCTGAAATAATCCACACTCTGGCAGCATTTCTTTTGCTGATGTCATTGTAATTTCCATCTGTGATAGTTCTTTTTCTATTGAGAAAATCCAGCATTTTAAAAAAATACACTGACATGATAAAAAAAATTTCTAACAAAATATTAGCTATAACCTTTACTGGTGCCACAACAGAAAGATCAGATTTATCGTCAGAAGTTTGAGACTAGGCCCTAGTCCTGTCTCTCCTACTTCATACTAGCACTTCTATTAGCCTGCTTCTTCCTTTGTGAAATTAGAAGGCTCAGAAGAGCAGAACTGATGTGATAATGCCTTAAACAAATAAACAAAAAAGCTAGACCTCTGGTTTCATTGGTCCAGGGAACTCTACATGAGGAAACTCTGTTCCAGTGCCGATCAGCACCTGTTCTGTAGCTAGTAGTCATGGAGATTTGTCTGGGCTACTATTAAGTTCGGTGAGGTGGGGCTTGAACTTAGGTTTTCTTGACATAGTGGCTGGTGCTCTTATAAAGGATGAAAGGGAGACACACACACAAGAGACAGATGTTGCACTTTACACATTCGAGATGCTCAAAATAATCATGGCGGTGACAGTCTATTCAAGTTTACACAGATGGTAGTAGAACTGAAATCTCTGGATCCAGAACTGGAACTCGGATCGCTTGACTTTGTCACGTGTCTTTTCTCCCCCGACAATAATGTCTCTTAGCCTGTGTAAAAGGTATAGTACTGAGTACCTGCACGCATGACCAAAAGATCTTGACATTGGGCTTAATTGAGCAAAACGAAATTTAATTAGAGATAAAACATTTTATAGGGATAAGATAATTTAATAGGGACAAAAGCCCATTTTCACAAAGTGGGAGAGGTGTGGCTGGACAGTTCATCTTAAAAAGATGTGGAGATTTCAGTGGACTGCAAACTCAGTATAACTAGAGGGTGCTGTGGCAGTAAATACTGGTTAAGCGTGAAGCTGCATTAAAACGCATAGCATTGAGGACTGAAGTGATAGTCTCACTGTACTTTGCCTTTTTTGGAATATGGTGTTTGGGTATGGGCATTACATTTTAGGAGGGCATTGGTAAACTGCAGGGAATGCAGAGGAGGGTATCCAGGATTGGAAAAGATTTAAAGTTCATGCTTCATGTGAATTAACAAAAGGAGCTAGGATGTTTAGCTGAAAGATAAAAACCCTTAAGTGAAAATACAGTAGTTGTCTTCAAGTATTTGAAGGGCTGCTATGTGAAAGGGGAATTAGATATGTTCTGCTTGGCCTAACAGGGCAAAACCAGGACCACTGGGTGGAAGATGCAAAGAGGAAGATAGAGGCTTCATGTAAAGAAAAACTTCCAGACAATTAGAGCTATCCCAAAGATGGGCTGCCTCAGGAGAAAGTGGGTTTCCTCCTTGCTAGGAAGTTTCAAGTAGAGGCTCATTGATCACATTGCGGATATTGTAAATGGGAGTTCAAAGCAAAAAGGGCTGGAATCAGAGGTCCTGGATTGAAATTCTCCTTCTGATGCTTTGTATTTGCTTTACCTTGGGCAGCTCACTTCCTTTGGTCTCACTTTCCATCTGTAAAAGGAAGGGATTGGACTACAGGACCTATAATATGTCCTTTCCAGCTTTAAATCGGTGACTCTGACTAGATGGCCTGACATTGGTCCTTCCAACTCTGATATTTTATACCTTAGTGTTTTGATGATTGTTATTTTATAGCTTATAAAATAACCATAACAAGAGCGTGTTCTCTTTACCAAACTATCCTGTTGTAAATCTGTTCCTCACTACATTATGTTTTGAATCAAAGTATATAATTAAAGTGCTTCTACTCCCATGAAGCTTAGGAATTTGAAATCTAGGCAGTTCCTACCTTTCCTTGGCACAGAATAGATATTATGGGAGCCTCACATTCCCTGCCTAATTAACACACATATAGCTCCATTCTCTAAAGTGGTTTGCCAGAACAGAAAGCATCGCACCAGGAGTTGGGATCCTGTGCTATGTCTGTCAGAGTAATTCTGCAAAAGATAATTTTGAACCTCCCTTTAAATGTGAGTTAGCAGTTACTTTTATAGCTTCCTTCAGAAGGGTTCTGAAATCTCCTTCTGAGAGCTGCTATTTGTGTGCTCGTGGTCTTTATTTAGTCTGAGACTAAGTATAATAAACTGAGGAGGCAGGAAAAAAAAAACCCCTTTCAGAGATGCTTCTTGGTGGGAGAACTACCCTAATCATCAAGCAGAGTTGTATTGGATTACCTACTATAATATTTTGAAGCAGCAGAAGGATTTTGAAGAACTGTACGATGCAGTAGACATCACGCTGGACCTGGTGTCAGGACTTTGATTTAGATCCAGTAAGGGGCTCTGAAACAGTGTAAGTGGCCATGAGCAAGCACTTCTCTAAAGCCTATTTCTCCATGTACAAATAGGGATATTTTCAGTGCCTACTGAAATTTCATGGGGAAATTTTGAGGAAAGTGTTTTTAAATTTTCAAGCACTATAGAAATGTAAGTTATCACAAGGAAGGTGAGGGGAAAAAAGTCATCAGTTCAGACTATAACTTTTAGAGACTTGGACAAATCCCTTTTAGTGGTAAGTATAATTATGAAATGTTTGCTTCATTTTTGATAGAGCTGGCCCACTAGTCTTAGGTTAAATTCATGGTGAACTAGAGATGTAGGTGTGTATCATATACCCCTTTAAGTCTTTCACAGTCCTGGGTGCCCTCTTCTGCATAACCTATCACTATCCTCCTAAAAGGTAATGCCCAGACGCAAACACTATTGTGAGATGATCACTACATTTGATAATACAAAGTATAGACACTTGTGTAATTAACACAGATTTAATATTTAATAGAGATGAATAGTTATTGCATGATTGCTGTTATGACTTGTTGGTTAAGTCCGTGGGATTCATTTAATAGTATATAGAAACCTAACTCCCATTATAAGGTTGCTCCTATGGGGAAATGTAATAATCCACTCTATAGTACAGTTTGTAGAAATTCATCCATCATGGTGGGAAATGAGTATGCTGGTTTCTAATACTGTTAACACAGGGATTTCCTTTTCCTCATAGAACCAGATGTTGAAGAGCAGAACAAAGAGAACATCAATGATAACTTAGTTGAAGATCGTAAAAAGAGGGATCAAACAAAGTGAATCCAGGGTTAAAGAGAGTGGTCGCAACAGATGATCCCTGTGACAATGGAACATTCATAAGTATGAAGCAATCTAATGTGTACACTGGGAGATGAGTGTTGGGAAATTTTAATATGTACACAAGATGCCAATAATAGGGGGGAAAATAAGAATGTCAAATATTGAGATGAGATTTGGGTTGGTTTGATTTTTCCCCTGGAATCGGCTTCAAGGTTTCTAAATGAGTAGAGATTTTTAGAAAGGAAAAACTGACCACTTTTCTTTTTTATTATTGGAAAGATGGATATAACCCATGAAAAGACTATCCTTGAAATAGCCCAGGAATCATATTTCAGGTATGATTCTTAATGTGGCAACATGGCTCCAATTATTCTTAAATGTTATTAAAAACTTTCTCAGAAGAGTCCACTCTGTCTAGAGGACCCTCAGAGCTTGGTTTTTCCTTTTTCTGCGGTGGAGTCTGTTTCTCCTTTTGCTGCTCAGTGTGTCACTCTTACATCTGTTCTCAAGGTGAGCAGCATGCGTATTGAGGACTGGATAGCTAGCTCTCCTGCTTTGAGACAGAGGCATTTCTTGGTAGTTCTGACAATCAGAATAGCCCTTAAATACTGACTGTTAATACACAAAACATTACTAGCAACACTTTTAAGCAAGACTAAATGAAAAATTCTTGTTTTGGTTGTGTGTTGTATGCATTTTATTTTTTAAAAAATTCATATAACACTATTTTTAAATGATTGTAACTTACTATGTGTATTTCCTTTCCAATTAGGGACTTCCCTAGTAATGAACAAAGGAGTACTATGATTAACTTATAAACACAACTGTAGAGTGTTAATGTCACATGGGAAGTTTTGCAGTACAGGACACAAAGACGGAAATGTAGAATTGTTATTTTTAAAATGACTTTGATCTTGAAGTGAATCCATGCCTACTTGGGTTAAAAGAAAATTAATAGAAGATATATTATGTTCTGGATTTGGGCAGGCTTGGAGAGGAAGGAGAAAATGAGGGTTTTTTTGTCCTACATTTTACACATTAGCTTGTAAGGGGAAAGAAAATAATCTATGTAACAAAGTTTCTTCTGATCTGATTAATTTAGTTAGATGATTATTTTTGGAAATGAGTTCACCTTCTTTTGCTGTTTAATAGTTAACATGACTACTTTGTTATAACACAGACTGTGAACACAGGTAATAGATTTGAAGTCTGTGCTTACTGTTTAAGGGAAAGAGGCATCCAACAAAACTGCCTATGAAATTACTTTTTGAATGCAAATTTCCATAATTTAGAAATCTCTAAAATATTATATGGCATAGAATAAATTAAGAAAATAGAGTTTGTCTTTAAGATGTAGTTAGAAACATAGTTTTAGAATTGGAAGGGAGCCTTGGGGATCATTTCCTCCATCTTCCTAACTTTTTAAACACAAGCAAATAGAAGCTCATTGAGGTTAAATAGCCTTTCCAAGGTCACACACAGAGCTAGAACAAAAACCCAGGTCTTATGAATTGCAATTCAATGTTCTTTTCATTATCCCACACTGCACTGGTATGGGTTAATGTCACAGACAGGTGAAGATGGAGACTTTTTGCCTTTTCATGCTACAATGTCTTTCTTGTTTAGTCCTATGTGTTCCTCCTTACTCAGTTACCAAGACTACCAATCATTTCTTAAAACCAGGAACTTGTTGGAAAGCACTTCAACAATTCTGTGGTTTTACTTATTGTGACCTTATTAGATTGTTGTGGTCAAAAACTGTAATCACTTGGTAGCCAGCCTTGGGGTGAAAGAGTAGCTTTGGACTTTGCAGGCAAGGCTGGTCCTTAGAGAATGACAGAGAGTGTGGCTGGGTTCCTATTCTATGGCTTAGCACAACCTGTCAGAACCTGTGCCATGCAGGCATAGCTTTTGAGAACCCAGGTTCGTGGAACTTCCTGCCATAACAGAAAAAAAAAGCTACAAACAATAAAGTCAACTGGAGGGCATAAAAATGGACTTATATAAGGCCTCACCTAACCTCTTCTCTGTGGTTTTTGGTAACTTGCTGATAGAGATGACATATACTCTCTCCTGCCTTTGAGATGCTGTCCACAACATCTCATCCTCCTCTTACTCATGTAGTGATGCATTCAGGGATTGAAAAATAAAATCAGCCATTGTCAGTTCATCCACTAAAATCATTTTGGTAGCCCATGAAAGAATCTAACCCACCCTCAGGAAGACCGTATATTTCACGTTTTTTTCCCTTAGTGGTGGTGATGGTTTGGGCTGTCATCCACATTGAATTCTGCGCCCTCTTGTGGCCACTGGCACATGTGTATGAGGCAGGAAGCTTCTGTGGCTACTGAAGAATTATCTTCTCTATAACAGGCATCTAATCCATGATTTTAGTTTTAATAGCACCAGGTGCTAACCAACTAAGGAAGGAATAATTTTTCTAAGTAGTCAGCAAACAGCTTGTCCAAGTACACTGTTAAATCATAGAAAATTAGTCTCCATTACTAAAGTTTAAGAAACTCTTATTTTCCCAAAATCAGTTACATTAGCCTCAAATAATATCAGGCATTAGGAATGCAGTCACCTTAGGGTTGTCTTTTCACAAAAGAGAATCTTAGGGTATTTTTCCCTTACAACTTCAGTCATGTGCTCTGACCGCTTAAGCAAGGGGGTCTCTTTTCAAGAGATACCATTAATAGTTTTATTGTGTTAGGTATATGAACTGTACCTTTCTGTAATGAAGGGGGTAGAATGGGGACAGAATTAACCCTTTGAAGTAAATCACCAGCTTACCACTGTTAGAAATTTTGAAGGAAGAATAGCTTTAGTGTTTTTTTTTAAAATGATTATTCTTACAATTTGTAACTGCTATTTGTTAAACATCTGCTTGTAGTGAAACCTGGAATGGTGAAATTAAACTGTGAAGAACTGTTTTAAAATCATGGGTCATTTAGGGTAGATTAGATCCATTCCTAGAATTCTGTATTTGGCTTAGATTAGTTTATATTATGAAATAATGAAGGGGATAATGTTTACTGAACTTGGAAAAACTTGTCTAACATTTTTGTTTTCATTGTTTGCTTTGAAATTGTTTAACTTTAGAAAAATATTTAATACTTTAAAATAAAAATGAATTCTGTTCTATGCATGGGTTACTGCATTATTTCACTCTGATAAACAGTTGCAGAACATTAGTGTCTTTTTGATGATGTATGACTGGTGGCCACTCATCTGAAACAGAGACTTAAGTTTAACACATTTGCTAAGCAAATATTGATTGGTGAGGAAGGTAGTATTAAATATTTGTGTTTATTCTCTATATATCTTGGCTATCAGACAACTGTCAGATTTAATAGAAATTTTTCCCCCTCATTTGACTACTTACCTTCTCTATTCCATATGCACTAATTTTATTGGTCCAACATTTTTCATTTTTGTGATCAAAATTTTCTTTTGTAATTAACTGCCTCTGCCTTTTTGTTTGGTTAAGAATTCATGTCATAGGGGTAGCTAGGTGATGCAGTGGATAGAGCTTTGGCCTTGGAGTCAGGAGGACCTGGGTTCAAATCTGACCTCAGACACTTGACACTTAACTAGCTGTGTGATCGTGGGCAAGTCACTTAACCCTGATTGCCTCACCAAAAAGCAAAAAGAAAAAAAAAATCATGTCATACCTATACCTGTCAATGGCACATGACCACTTTCTCTTTTATAGGATTGTTAGTATTTAGGTTGCTAATGCCTTTTGAATTTACCATGGAATATGGGGTAAGATGACAGTCATTGCCTAAATTTCTGCCAGACTGCTTTCTAGTTTTCTCAAAAGTTACCAAATAGGGAGTTCCCCCCTAAGTAATATATGTTTATCACATTACTTTTTTTTTTTTTGAGACCAGATCTCCCTATTTTGTCCAGGCTTGAAGTGCAGTGGCCACTTACAGACCTGAAACCATAGTTGATCAGTATGGAATCTTTACCTGTTGTTTCCAACCTTGGCTAGTTCACTCCTCCTTAGACATCTTGATGCCCTCTCCTTTCCCCCTCCCCCAATTTTTGGGGCTTACCATGTTGTTCCTCAACTTAGTATCCAGACCCCTGATCGAATTAGCCTACAACTCAAAACTCCCAAGCTCAAGTAATCCACCAGCCTCAGCCTCCTCAGCAATAAGCATTACACGCCTATTCTACCACACTTGGCCATCATGGTACTTTCAAAATTGTTGTGCTTGTCTGCTTCCTTCTGTTCTCTTTAGTACTTAAAAACAGCAACAAAAAACTTAAATGGCTCTCTTTTTCTGTGGCAGCACTGCAACTAATTGTTCCTCTCCCCACCCTCCAATTAAATAACAAGGAGGAAAAAAACCATACCACGTAACAAATAAGCATAATCAAGCAGAACAAATCTACACAGGGGCCATGTCCCAAAACGTATTCTCTCTCTCTGCACCTTGAGCCCATCATCTCTGTTAGAAGGTAAGTGACATGTTTTATCTGAGATCTTCTAGAGATGTGGCTGGTCCCTGCATTCTTAAGACTTTCAGTTTTTCTTTACGATAATAGGTTGCAGAAATTGTTCTGGTTCTGTTCACTTTCGTTACACTTAGTTTCTACTTCCCAGGATTCTTCGAAATGGTTTCTTTCAATATTTCTTACAGCACATTTCCATTCCATTCACATACCACAGTTTGTTCAGCTGTTCCCCTGTTGATGGGCATCGCCTTAGGTTCCTCTCTTCTCTCCTCAGAAAGTTTATTTTGCTTGTGACTATTTCCCTTCCTGGTATTCTCTTTCTGAGCTAGCCCTTCTCCGTATTCCTACTTGTGCCCTATTGAGTTTGATACTTTACGACACCAAACAGTTATGTTCAACCATTCTTGATCTGGTTTAGGTATGAGTGGAGCTTGTCTGATACCTTTTCCCACTAACTCCTTCCATGTTTGTATACTCTCTGTTAACCGGTTATGAGAAGTAGCAGGTTCCACCTATTTCTTTCTGCCTCTCACACTAGTAATCCTTTCTGCTTCTTAAAACTCTTAGAACCCATCTGCCCCATTGTTTTCTTACTTAATTCTCTCAATCTTTTTCGAAGACATTAAGGTTCTGAAGGGACCCTTATTTCTTTTCTCCCTATTAAAATCTTAGCACATCATCATACAGTTCCTTCCAGCTGCTCAAAGACATTTACCGTTTTAGGTTTCTCGACTCATATTTGTTTGCCAAAAGTTCCTATTCAGCTTCAAAGTACTATTCCACTAAAGGTCCATTTTTCTCCCTTAGGATTATATATTCAGTGTCACGGGGCAAGTTGCCTTAGTTGGAAGCCTGTATACTTTGCCTTTTGGAATACTGTACTCCTAACTTTGCTCTTCTTTCTAGTTGAAGTTGCAAGGTCTTGTGTGATTCTGACTGTGGTTTCTTGGTACTTTAACTGCTTCTTTCTGGATACTTGCAGTATTTTTTATTTGATCTAGAAGCAGCTCTGCACTTTGGATATGACATTCCTAGGGCTTTGGGGAATTTCTTTCAGGAGATGGATTCTTATTTTTTTCCTCTGGTCCTAAGAGATCTGGGCTGTTTTATGATTTTTTGAAATGCAGTGTGTGTTTTTTTTCTTTGTCCAGTGATCCTTCTTTTTTATATTTTAATTTTTCCCCAACTGAATGTAAAAATAATTTTTAACATTTTAAAAAAAATTTGAGTTCCAAATTCTTTCCTTTCTTCTTTCCCCTCTTCTTTTTCTACAGAAGGCAACATATACAGTCATGCAAAACATATTTCTAGATTAGTTATGTTGTGAGGGAAAATAGACCAAAAAACATGAAAAATTTTAAATGTTAAAGACAGTATGCTTCAGTCTGCATTCAGACTTCATCAGTTTTTTCTCTGGATGTGGATGGTATTTTCATCATAAGTCCTTGGAATTGTCATTTCATTGTATTGCTGAGAACAGCTAAAGGCATTCACAGTTGATGATCGTACTGCATTGCTGTTACAGTGTACAGTGTTCTCTTGGTTCTGCTCATTGCATTTTGCATCAGTTCATGTAAATCTATCCAGGTTTTTCTAAGAGCATCCTCCTTGTCATTTCTTATAGCATAATGGTACTCCATCACAATTACATACCACACCTTGTCTAGTCATTCCCCAACTAATGGCCATCCCCTTAATTTCCAATTCTTTGCCACCACAAAAAGAGCTGCTATATTTTTTTTGGTTTGTTTTTTGGCTAGGCAGTGGGGTTAAGTGACTTGCCCAGGCTTACACAGCTAGTAAGTGTTGTGTCTGAGGCCAAATTTGAACTTAGGTCCTCCTGAATCCAAGGCCAGTGCTCTATCCACTGTGCCATCTAGATGCCCCTATAAATAGTTTTTGTACATATGTCTCTTTGGGATGCAGACCAGGTAGTGGTATTGCTGGATCAAAATGTGTGCAGAGTTTTATAGCCCTTTGGGCATAATTCCAAATCCTCTCCAGAATGTCTGAATCATATCATAACTGCAACAATGCATGTGTCTCAATTTTCCCACATCTCTCCAACATTTGTCATTTTCCTTTTCTGTCATATTAGCCAATCTGTTAGATGTGAGGTGGTATTTCAGTTGTTTTAATTTGCATTTCCCTATTCAGTAGTGATATAGAGCATTTTTTCCTATGACTATAGATAGCTTTGATTACTTCATCTGAAAACTGCCTGTTCATATCCTCTGACCATTTATCAATTCAGGAATGACATATTCTTATAAATTTAACTTTGTTCTCTAGATCTGAGAAATGAGGCCTTTTATCAGAGAAATTTGCTGTAAGAATTTTTTTTCAGTTATGATTCTTTCCATCCTTTCTTCCCACATTTAACCTTCTCTCTCTCTTTCTCCCCTTTCACCCTGTCCATCCTTAAATGTTTTGCTTCTGACTACCACCTCCCCCAATCCACCCTGCCTTCTTTTATTCTCTTCCCCTCCTACTGGGTAAGATAGATTTCTATACCCAAGTAAGTATGTATGTTATTCCCTCTTGGAGCCGACTCTGATGAAAGGAAGGTTCACTTGCTTTCCCCCACCTTCTTTACCCATCTCCCCCCTTCTCCACTGTAGAAGCTCTTTCAAGCCTCTTTTATCAGATAAATTTACCCCATTCTACCTCTCCCTTCTCCTAATGCATTCCTTTTTCTCACTCCTTAATTTTCTTTATCATCCCATCATAGTTCCTCCACGTAGGGATGTAAACAGACCTTATTGAATCCCTCATGATTTCTCTTTCTTGTTTACCTTTTCATGCTTTTGAGTCTTGTATTTCAAAGTCAAATGTTCTGTTCAGCCCTCCGATTCTTTAATGTAGAAGCTGCTAAATCTTATGTTATCCTGACTGTTTCTTTCTGGCTCCCTGTTTATACTCAAAATGCTCCTCTCCATTGTCTCCCCCCCCCTTTTATTTTTCAGAGACTTTTGTGTTTCACATCTCACAGGCATACAACGGGGTAAATAGCAATACTGACAAGATGGTGGTTTCCTGGTGAAACCTGGGGTCATTAGTAGAGGTCTACAATTTCCTGAAGACAATTCAGTCCATCTTCTTACTCCTTAATTCTGGGTCTTATTTACTATCCACTTATACTGCCTGTCTCAGGTTGATGGGCAAGTTGCTCCAGTTTGTCCATTCTACTTCATGGCATCATTGGGGCTGCATTCAGCCTGGATCTACTCGCTTGGTCTTTAAGAACAGTCAGGCCAAAGCCTTTTGGCTGATTGCAAATCTTCCAGTAGTCTATGCAGCGTCCCAGGGCCTGATGAAAGCAGCACAATGCCGTCTGTATTTAGGATCATCTAGAAGTAACAGTCATTCACAGCAAAACTCTCAGCAGTTCTGAGTTTTATGCTGTACCTCCTCCATAACAGTGGCAGACATCTTTGGTAAATGTCATGTCTCCCTGTTTCAAAACAGAGCCATATCTATTCCATCTTTGAAAGAATTTTGAATGAATGTGTAGATGGGAGCCACCTTGTTGAAGAGAACTACTTAAGTCACCATTTTTGCCAAATGAACTGAATGCTTTTTTCCAATAGAGATCAGTGAGCTCTGCCACTTCCCAGGTGACACTGGGCAAGTAATTTTAACTTCTCTGGGTCTTTTATTCATATGTAAAATGTTGGAGTAGGGTAGCCAGGTGGTGCTGTGGATAGAGCACTGGCCCTGGAATCAGGAGGATCTGAGTTCAAATCTGGCCTCAAGACACTTACTAGCTGTGTGACCCTGGGCAAGTCACTTAACCCCATTGCCTAATCAAAAATAAAATAATATAAAATAAGATAAAATGTGGGAGTTGCTAAGATCTCTTCCAGCTCTAGATAATATCATCCTATGATAATGACAAATGGGTAATGAACAGTGTACATGATACCCATTCATTATTAAATTTCATATATAAGTTTAACTCCTAAGTTAAATCACTTGCCGTTTTAACAAGGATTACATGATTATAGAGTGCTTCCAAAGAGCCTAAAAAGCACCTTAATCAGGTAACAAGGACTTGCCCAGGATTACGCATTACGTTTAAGATAACTTAAGAATTGTTATTTCAATCTTATACCATCTTTTTCTCATCTTTCTTTTAGCTATTTACTAATTCTTATCTTTGTTCTGATGAGTTGGTGGTCTGACCAGATGGCTGATTCAGCAAATAACCTCTTTTGCTGTCTGTTGAACTACAATCCATTTCATTAAAAAAACAAAAAACAAAAAACCCCTCCAATTTAGTTCTTACTCTAGCCAGCACCTACCAATTCTGTAATCCCCTACTATACTCTTCTATGTTGTGGATTACCTTATGACTATACTGAAGTGGATTCGTAGTTTTAATGATGTGGTTGCTTGCTCTGGGTTGTAGTTTGCTGTCTCGTGCAATGGATCACTTAAGAGCCTAAGGGTTCAGATTAGCAGTTTCTTAAAACAAGCAAACAAAAAACCCCACAAAGCATCCAACAATCCACCCAGGTAAAAGGCAGTCAATCTACAACATAAAAAGAAGTACAGGAAAGTAAAAGTCAATAAAAATCACCAAGAAGGAGGCTCCCTGGGGTCTCAGAAGTATATTGTATAATTGTATATCCTCCTTGTCTAAAGCATCATTGCTGCATCCCAGATCAATCCACCTATAACAAAGTTTACTCAAACTGCCCCAGGTTTGCTCCACAGTATTGACTTATAATAGCCACAGTTGTTGTGAAAGTATGGAGGTCAGCTCAAGCCTCTGAAATTCTACTAGTGTCTTGGCCCATAATACCTGATCTTGGAAGCATCCTTTCAACATACTAGAGGCCTTCCCCTAGGAAGACAATTCCCATTTAATGGTTCAAAAATCCATGTTCAAGTTTCCTGAATTAAGTTGTAACTTTTCCTTCTGACACATGATGGCTATGACTCTGGGAAAGTCACTCCCCACCAAACTTAGATTATAACTTGTAGAGCAGGTGCTGATGTGCATTGGTAGAGGGAGTGTCTTTGTTGAGAATTCCCTAAACCAACAGACCACAGGTTCAAAACAAACCCAAATGACAAAATACTATAAAAGGTCCACCATTCCACTTATGACTTTTGAGTACTAAAAGTATATTATGGAAACCAAGGGGTCAAAGAAAAACTAAGATGAGGAGGGCACCAATAATTTATAGTTCAAAGAAGGGGTGGTACTCCACATGCAAAAACAACATTACCGGAGATGAACTGGTAGGGAGGCTCAAAAGGGAATAGGAGAAAAAGCAGCTCTTTATATGTACTGGTCATTTATAAGTCAGTGGTTCATATTGTAGAGACTGAATACAAAAACAAAGAATGGCAAAAGAAAATCATTACTAAAATCATTATTATGCAAAAGAAAATCATGTACTAAACCTTAACAAGAGGGTGAAGAAAAAAATGGGGGAAAAATAGAAATTTTGCAGTTTTTGGAGATTATTATTATTATTTAGCTTTAGTATTAAATCACCCATGTTTTCATCTTCACTAAATCTAAGATGCTTAATACCACTTTTCCCATGCACTGTGCTTTCTCCTTACAGTTCAAAGAGCCAAAAGCCTTGTTAAAAGGTCCACTGAGATTTTAAAAAAAGGAACTAAATCCAACTTTAAATATGAATAGGCTTACAACTACATATACTTACTGACCAACAAAGGCTACACATGTCCTTTTTCTGAATGAGCAAACCTTGAACTTCATAATAAAAATAGAATAACTACTGAAATATTAAAGATCAAAAACACATCACTGAACTGTGTATCAACAAAATGCTATTGTATTTTCTCCCAGGCAGTGCATTTTCAGTCAAGAATTTTATTAACCTTTACAAACACCATTTCACTCAATTCATTCATAAAAAATGATTTATGATTAAATCTGTAACAAAACCATACAATGTTGTTCATCAATAAGATCAATTTCATCCATGGAACATAACAACAAACCACTTTAAAACAGCAGTTTTCATTCAGGTCATGTGAGGCCGTCAGATTCAAAGTACTCCATGTGAAGGTTCTTTACAAAGAAATCCGTTTCACTTCAAGTATGTGGTAAGATTGACAGATGTCTGTCTGCTCTCTGGTGGAATAAAAGTTCAGATTCTACCTCTTTAGGGTCAGTTTTTAAAATCCCTTTCAAACAAGTTTCACAACTGGAAAGTATTTGTGAGCAGTGAAGTCAAACTCAGGGGGAACCTGAAAGGAAAACCAGAAAGCCAATTCATTCATCCATTCACCAACATGTATCACACAAGGGCTTTTTATCAGTATGGTGTCCAGTTTTGATCTCTGTTATTTAATAAGAGGCATGACATAAGAACTAGAGATGAGAAATGGGTTTTGTGAGAAAAAATGTTAAAGAATTAGAAGCATTATTAGGGAATGTATATTGACTGGCTGTTTTTCATCTCAGTATCTGAACAAGTGGAAATGGGCTGAAATATGATGAGTTGAGCAGTTTATTTATCTCTGAAAACCACCAGGAGGGTGCATCAATGCCAGTGGGCATTGTCTGATGCGTAAAAAAGGGGAAAAACAACAGCACATGGAGTGGACAGAGCTGCCAAAACTGCCTCAGATGCCATTGGGTTGCATCAGTGTAATGTCATAGGTTAAAACTACCTAAATGCTAGTGATGGTAATTAAGCCCTGGAATCTAAATAATGTTATCACCTGGAGATCTTTGAGAAAACAATAAATAAAGTGCTTTATTTAGGTATTCTCCTGCTTGGAGGCAGAAAATAGCTTTTAAAATGTCTCAGCAATATGCTTCTATGAATTTTCTTTCATAATTTCCATCCGTCCATTTTCCTGAAATATAAAACCCCTAGAATTTATAATTTTATTCAACTAACCATGTAACCTTCAAAGAAAAATGGCTACCATAAATGTTAATGGCTGATATTCATAGAGCACTTTTAGAAGTCTAGAGCTCAGCTAAGTGGAGTGAGTTGGCCCAGGCTGATTTAGCCAAAGAGGGGTCAGAAGTGGTATTCAATCCTCATCTTTACCAACTCCAAATTCAGATTTCTTTCCATCACACCAAGCTGCTTCCAGCTTTGGTGCCTTTTTGCTTTTGGTACACACTCTATAACTGTTACATTAATTGACTCTTCTTTGAGAGATACTTTTTTTTGTTCCACATTTCTGAGTAGAACATTTACTGCAACATATTATGTAACGATTACATAAAAACACATCTTAAGTAAGAGATAAGGACATTTCAGGTTTTCTGTAATGTGCTTACCTTAGATTCCTTCTTGTGCCCTCCTGCCAACAACTTCATGACCACAATGTTAGGTTTGGCAACTTTTAGAATTCGACTGACCTAAACAATAAACAATACAAACTGTCAAAGCACAAAGTTATGGCGAATGTGTCTTACTTTTTAAGACACCAATCAAAATATCTGCAGTGTGACAGCATTAATTTTTCATTTAAAAAAAAGGCAAAAAAAAATCTGAAATATTAGTATCTAGAATTAACACCTTTGTTAGTAACAAGTCCCAGAAGCACTCACTTCCTTAATTCTAATTTAACATGAAAATGGAATTCTGTGGCTTTGAGCATACACACGAACCAAATTTCTATAAATCAATGTTTTAGCAACTTGTTCCCTCAATAATAAGTGGTATAAAGAATAAAAGTATAAGTCTATAAGAATATAAAAGTAAAAGAATAACAGTATACCGGCAATAAAGCATGAACAACAAAGGCAACTGTGGAGTGTTCCATTACACTTAAGATGAAATTTTTGTGAAGGACACAAGTTCAACTGTCTCCTGTTCTTTCTGATGTCAGCATTCTCAGGACACAGAAGACTAAATAAAGTGACAGTTCATGTACAAAATACAAAATACCAAAAGTCCAAATTTTATTTTCAGTGCTGGGAAAGATGAACTAATCCACTCCTTTATTCGTCACATTCTTTTGGCACACTGCACTACTCCACCTCTCAAGCTGACTCCCTAATCCTGAAGTCATTCAGTCTCTGCTCCAAGCAAGCTGAATGACCCCTAATTCTTAAAGCCCTTCTCCAAAATTTTCCATTGTTTTCCCCAATTAAATTCTCAACAAACTCTCTCCCTAACTTTTTTCTGCTTCTACTGTTCCTTCTGTTATTCTGCATTACAGTAAATAATCCTATTTTTTATCAGTTCTACTGATGCGGACATTACTTGATCTATTTCTAAAGTGCACAGTTTCACTACTTTGTTCTGAATTTTATTACTATAACCCAGTTTTTGTTGTTTTTTTTTTCCCTTAGATATCTTAAGAAACTTATTGTACATTTTTTCCTCTGCTATTTTTTGGTATTTCTGTTTTTGTTATATTATATAATATTCAGGAAATAGGGTATCCCTTCCCAAACACTTCAACCAACATTTCTTTTACTTTCCCATTTGAATATAAACCTGGTTTTCCATCAAGATATCCACTATACTAGAGGCCACTCTTTCTATTTCTTGATTCACAGGGCCAGGAAGGGAAGTTGGTATATTTCTTGCTCCCCTCTACTATTTCTCTATTACTCATTAATAACTTTTCCCTTTTGGAACCACTCAAACCCATTCTTTCTATCTTGTTACTATTATCTACTCTATTCCACATCATTTTCTAATGATTTTAGGACTTGGCTCATGGTCTCTACCATCCCATCTGCTTATGCTCAGGTACTGCACATTAACGACTTCTCTAATAAACTGACCACAAAATTTGATCTCATCGGCTCTAATGAATTCCTCTACTTCAGCTCAATCAACTATATACATAGTCAACAAGCATTTATGAAGTACTTTCCATGTATCAGCCACAGTGCTAGGGATAGAAAGAAAAGCAAAATCAGACCCTGACCTCAAAGAATTAACATTTTACCAAGGGAGACAACACATAAATAACTAGGTATTATAAAATAATTTATACAGAGTATAGGGAAAGTAATCTCAGGTAGGAGGAAGGTACAGGAAGCTAGGGAAATTAGGAAAGGTATCCTGGTGAGATCTGAGCTCAGTTTGATGCTTGAAGGAAACCGGGGAAGCTACGAGGTGGAGATGAGGAGGAAGGGCATTTCAGTCATGGAGAACAGTCATTGCAAAGGCATGGAGAGGAGAGGTAGTGTGTTATGTGTGAGAAACAGCAAACAGAAAAGCAAAGATGAATCATGGAGTGTGTATGTATACAGGGGAATAGAGTATAAGAACATCAAAAAGGTAGGAAAAGACCAGGTTAGAAGAGCTTTAAAGTACCAAATAGTGGACTTTAAAGGTACTAAGGAGCCAATGGAATTTGGGGATGTGGGGAGTGTGACATAGTTAGGCCTATGCTTTAGGAAAATCATTTTAGCAACAGGAGCATAGGCTAGAGTAGGGGAGAGATTTGAGGCAAGGATACCAATTAGGGGAGTACTGCAGTAGTCCAGGCTAGCAGTGTCAAATGCTTCAGAGCTCAAGAAATAAGGACTGAGAAAAAAACCACAAGAGTTGGCAATTAAGAAATCACTGGTAAGTTTGTACATGAATGATGAGGTCAGAAGTGTAGATCTCACTATTTCTTGAACTGAAATGTATCACTCCATGATCCAAGATAATGAAATTCCTCAATTTAATAAAACCAATTTTCTTTTCAGTCCACTCTTTTTGCTCACACTAAATCTATTCTTTACCAAAGCAATGGTTTTTGGTACCTCAATCTATATCTATTATCCCAGGATAGTTCCTCTACTTTGACTTTACTTACCTCTATACACAGTTTAAACTCCATAGTCTGCCATTTTAATATATTGCTAGCCACCATATTCAGAATCCTTTCTTTGCCTTGGATTTTCTACTACTCCATATCTGCCAAATCTTGTCCTTCAGGAATACCAACCATCTAATTTTTCCATTATCATTTGTCAAACAAAAATCACTAGAGGAAGCCACAAAATCATGATTTCACCCACTCTCAAGGTCTATAACTACCTTGCTACAATACACAATTCCTCTGCTCTACTCTTAATCATTTCCTCTCTCCATAGCAACTACTTCAAACTTTTCTTCTCTCCTCAAACTCCTACTCCTCATACTTAAAGCAAATGTCTTGGCATCTTACTGCACTGGAATTGTGGTTTTCTCAAGAAAACCCCTCTTCAACATTCTGTCTTAATGAACAGGAAGACCTTTTTTCAGTTCTCATCCTTCTGTGTAGCATCTGATACCCTTGAGTGCCTATGCCCTCCTATGGGACATTCCCTCCTTCCTTGACTTTAGACACAACATCTTCACTCGTCTCTTATCCTCTCCTAACCCTTAGTGTTCCCAGTGTTCTGTCCTCAGACAGAATTCTTTCTGCTGTTGTGATCTTTCCTTTCCATCCGTTCTCTCTAGTACTGCCAGAGTAATCCTTCTTATGCATAAACACAGACATTTCGATTGCTGTGCTCAACTCTTCAGTGACTCCTTATTGTGTACTGAATAAAATTCATTCTTCTGCCTGACATAAAAACACTCCACAATACAGGACAGCCCTGCTTTCTCAGGTTTATTACTTTGCTCTAAATATTCTATGCTCCACTTTGTCCCTCCAACATACCATTAATTTCTTGCTGGTGGCATTGTTTATGCTACACTCAGTATGCCCTCCTGAGTTCCTAATTTTATAGCCCAATTCATACGCTATCCCCAAGGCTTTCTCTGAAGCTTACTGTGCTAACAACTTAGATGCCTGGATTTCACATAGCACTAAAAAGTGCTATCTGTTTTTACTCATCCTCCAACTACATTGTAACCTACACAAGGGCAGGAAACATATCTTATCTAAACTTGTACTCCACCCAGCATTCTACAAAGTAAAAAGTATGAATTAGTAAAGATGTATCTCATTACTAAGGCAGAAGTAAAAACATCTCCAAAATTTAGCCGAATTTTAAAAACATACATTACATCAAGCTTTTACCATATATCCATATATTATATATTAATTAATATCTGTATATATAATAAAGCAAAACTCAGTGAATTCATGAAAACAAACTTCACTATATATGCATATAGATATATAGATAGTAAAAGCTTGCTATAATGTATTAATATAGAGTGAAAGCTTACTGTAATGTGTAATATACATACACATACATATTTATAAATACATACATAAATAATCATGACAATATTATATAATAGCATAGTAACTTTTTTTTCATATTAGTAATTTCAGGCTACAGTACCCCTTGTGTTAAACTAATCTGAGTAAAATTTTGAGCCTGTAGAGTATACCAAATCCTTTGACAAAATATGTTTTATATACTTGGGTAGAAGGCATTTCTTCCCTGAACCAAAGATACCCATACAAAGCCAGAAACAATATAATTATATTTTTAAATGGTAGTATTAAGGAGGGTGTGTGGGGTAGGAGTAGGAAGGGGAAAAAAGAAGGGAAACAGACAAGTGTATATGTGGGGAGGGAGATGGGGCAGGGAGAGAGAGAAAAAGAGGAAGGGGGGAAGAGAGAAAAAGAAAGAGAGAGCGCTTTTGTGTTGTCCTATTTCAAATTTAATATGCCAGTTTTTACATTTAATACATTGTGGATAAAACAAGCAAGGAGGAAACTTCAGCATAAAAAGCGGTGAGGGTATCAAGAACCTGTTTCCAATTTTCTCACTGCCTTGCTCATTATTTTAAGTTCAGTCTACATCTTTGACAAAACTCATTCAAGCCATGGTCAAATTGGTCTGCTAGTCAATTTGGTAAGAGAATAACCAAAACTTTTGAGCTTCCTGCCAATAACACCACTGTGTAAATGAACCAATGCTAACTGTTTTGCCTGAAAAACGTATGGGATTATTTCTGCCACATATGTATGTATGTATGTATGTATGTATGTATAAATGTCACCTAACTTCTGTATGCATCAGTTTTACCATTTGCAAAATGGTCATAGTGATAACAATGTCATAGAAATAACCTAAGATTACCAAGGTTATGACTGTAGTATTACCTGAAAAATCTGGGAAAAAGTAAGACGTATCTTTATCAATAATAATCTTTAATATTCATTTTAATAATTCAGTCTGCATCAAGAAACAGGGGGGAAAAGTGTTTTGCAAAGTTGAGTTGTTTCTAGAATCACCATTTAATTTGGTCTTACCTCATGGTCTGGATTTGGGATGTTCTCCAGTATCATTTTTGCCTGTTGAAAGTGTTTACTAGCTGCCATATATAGGTCAGCAGACTGAGGAGGTGGACTGTATTTATTAAGGTCAGACATTTCCTAAATAGAAAAAGAGAACACACTGTCTAGAATATGTACAATATGCAAAACCTTAAAATAGTTTTTATCAAAGGCATCTACATTTGTTGACTTTCTTTTCTCATGGATCACAAAGTAAACACATTACACTGCCCTATTTGTTTTTCTAAATGGAATTCAATTTCCTACATTTATAAAATAACACAGGCCATTACAATTGAAATAAAATATCTTTAAGTAGAGGCAGTATGGTACAGTGCTACACCTTCAATGAGAATATTTTGGTTCAAATTCTACCTCCAATTGTTTATTCTTTGACTTCAGGCAAGTAGTTTAACTACTCTCAAGCTCATGTAGTAAGTCAAAGATGGGCTGCCATCTGCATTAGTGGAAGGATTTCCCACAATGGGAGTACCCAACACTTAGGAAAGCAGAAATTGTTCATGTATTCACAAATTCTTTTGTTGTTCAATTTATTTTCAGTAAAATCCAACTCTCTGTGATCCAATTTTGGGGTTTTCTTGGCAAAGCCACTGGAATGGTTTGCCATTTCCTTCACCAGCTCATTTTACAGATAAGAAAACTGAGGCAATCAGGATTACGTGACTTGCCCATGGTCACACAGCTAGTACATGTCTGAGGACATACTTGAAGTCAGGAAAATAGGTCTTTCTTAATTTCTGCCACCTAGCTGTTCCAAATGAATTCTTTAAGATACTATAAAGAGAATGTTGCTGAAAGACCAAATAAAGCCAAATAATTTTCAGGCTATTTAAATTCTTGCCTTTTATGACAAGATTCCACATACTACTCAAAGTAATTGATAGTACTAACTGAAGTTAACAAAATACATATTAAAAAAAAAAACCCATATCTAAAAGTAAGCCTAATGATATATGATAATAGACTACATTGACAGGGTGCTTTGAGAATTACACAAGTGTTTTCCTCATAGTAACTTCAAGGTAGGTACTGCAATGACTACCCTTAATTTACACACAAAAACTGATTCTCAGAGGAAAAGTGATTTGCCAAGGGTCCAACCGACTGGGACTGGATCTCAGGTGGTTTGGCTCTAAGACTAATTATCTTTCCACTACATCAAGCTGTGAGGTATACAAAATCAAGATTGCCATTCAGATACAAAAGTTTACCTTGAATTGCAAATAGTGCACTGGGGGTGGTGTGATAACACTGTTGAATGGAGCAAATCTGTGTTCATATCGAACCTGTTCACTATCCAACTCAAATTTGGGTTTTCTTACTTTACCATCCATGTCAAAAGCTATCATGGTCTGAAAAGAAAAAGTGGGTGAGAATGGTAATACCAATATAAAAATATTGATTACAGAAAAAAATAGCAACATGATAAATGTAACTCATTACGTACAATGTAAAAAAGGAAAAATAATGTGGTTTCTGATTACCATTAACTTTTTGCATCAATAGTTCTTTCTCTCCTCCCCTTCCCCCAACCCTCATCATTTCCCAAGCAGGGTTCTATGTTCATTTAATATACTATCTTCTTCTTTTTGCTAGGCAGTCGGGGTTAAGTGACTTGCCCAGGGTCACACAGTAAGTGTCATGTGTTGTGTGTCTGAAACCGGATTTTAACTCAGGTCCTCCTAACTCCGAGGCCAGAGCTCTAACCACTATGTCATCTAGCTGCCCCTAAGGTACTATTCTCTATAGAGGTTAATCTCCCCCCCTCCCCCCCGGCACAAATTTTATTGATTTTTTAGACAGCCTCTTATAAGCAAAAAGTTTATAACTTGTTGAACGAAGAGAACAGCTACTGTTTTCCTCATCAGGGAAACCACACCTGGGAATTCCTGTTAGATAAGCTACATTTCTTGAGAATACAGATGGACCTCCATTTCTTGAGAATACAGATGGACCTCCAAACAAAACAAACCCAATCAGACCTGAGCTAGGCAGGGCAATGAGGGATGCCCCCGGGGTTTGCCTCTTCACCTACAGGCTTTGTGTTGTGCTCATTTTTATACATGACAACAACTGTAGCAAGATTTTAGATGTTGATAAAGACTTTGGAGACTATTATATAAAAGAATAGAGAAAACTGGAGAATTCTCTGATCCTCTTCTCATAGAGCCAGAATAAATTTCTATGGAAGAGACCAAAAGATCATCTGATCTAATCCACACATAAGAAAACTGACCTAAACCACTTGCCTAAAATCACACAGAGGAAGACCCAGATCTCCTGACTTCTGGGCCAGTAGTTCTCTCCACTGTGCCACTACTACCCTCCCTTTGATTTCATCTATCTACCAGGGATTTGAACCCAGGTCTTCCTGATTTCAAGTCCAGCTCTCTATCCAGAAGTATGATATACACATCCTTCAGGAACAGATGCAGCTAATGCTGGTGACTTTCAAGTCTTTATTTCTACTACTGAAATGGAATGACCCTTCTTTTATATTAGAAGGAAATTATTATTATTTTAGTTATAAAATATTATTACATTTGCCATTACTATGTATGTAAGTGTGGGATTGTAAAACAATTCAGAGAGGTACTGCTCTAAAGGAAAATAACTCAGTTAGGCAGGCAGCTAGGTGACTGGTCCAGCATGAAATGCTTAATTAGACTCCTAATATGTTGCTTTGACTTTGACTCTTACAAAAAGAGGTAAGAACCAAAGCCAAGCACAGACACATCCTGAAGCTGAAGCTTGGTGGGCTATGACAAGAAGTGGTACCAGGTTTAAAAAAGAAGTGTCAATGAGTTTAGGTGCAAATAACTACAATTCCATCCTTTCTGCAGAATATAGCATGTATGCCACGTGGGGAAGCTAAACTTCCAGCCTAGTTGTATACAAACAATGACTGAGCCTCCTATGGTCAGATTAAGAACATTTTTGGCTAAGATGTTTGCACTCTCTAACTCAATAATTCTGCAATTATAGAACTTCTTTTCTCTTCCCTTTCCTCCTTCCTCTAAAGTTTCAATACAGTCTCCATTAAAGTCTGATTACAATCCTTAGAGTGTCTCTGACCCCTTGGCCACTCGAAGGGCTCTAATAGGCTGAACTGAAGCTCTTGCAGTAGGTGCTGAGTGAGAGACTGACTTTCCCTCGAGGACCAACCTAAGTCTAAAGAGGCTCAGTATCAGAGTGGACATGGGACAAGGGGTTTTCAGCCACTGCAACTCTCAAACACCATCTATCTAAGCAGTAAGAGTTACAATATGCATTGGTAGAAGAACCTGAAGTAGCAACTAAAGGCTGAGTGGTTTGTCTTTTTTTAAAAAATAAGTTTTAGTCCCTCATTTAAGCTTACCAGACATTTCTACATGCTGTCCCATTGTCAAATTAAACTGATTTACCAAAAGTAGAACTGAATTTTGCCATCAAACCAGTTTCTTATATCAAACTTCCTTACTGGTCACTAATCATCACTAATCACTGGGGCTGTGCTCTATTTTATATACCCCAACCAACCACCAAATCCTATCAATTCTTCCTTTCCAATATCCTGAGGCTATTCCCTCCTTTCCAATCCCACTGCTACTACTTGAGTTTAGGTCCTAGAAAAAAAATCCTGATATTCCCCTGTCTCCAGTCTTTCCCCTCTTTAATCAGTCTGCCATATTGCCACCACATTAACCTTCCTTAAAAAATACTCATGTTTGCTCCTGCTGCTCAAAATTTTTAAAAGGTTTCCTTTTGACTACTGAATCAAGTATAACCATCTTAGCCTGGTATTCACAGGATCGTGTATTTAGATATTTAGATCTGGAAAGGACATCAAGGCTATGTAGTCTAACCCCTCTGTTTTGTAAACAAAGAACTGAGGCTCAGAGATATTAAGCAACTTGTCTCAGATCACCCAAGCATAAGCCTCAGAAGAAGGATCTGAACCAAGGTCTTCTAACTCTGGTACTCTTTCCACTGTACTCTCCCACTTTACAATATCCCCCAAATGTGTTATTCAGTCTTTCTTTGAAGACCTCTGTCAAGACCTCAGTAGCCCCAGAAGCCACCCAATTCTAAACTGGCCGCTTTGCAATTTCAACCTATGGCTCTTAGTTCTCCCTTCTGAAGCTGACCAGAACAAATGTAATTCCTCTTTCACATGAGACTTGTCTTTAAATTCTTGAAGACAGGAAGAATTTATCACACGCCCCCAACTCTTCTCCAGGGTAAGGACTCTCCAACTCAGGGCACAGTACCAAAGTCTCAAACTATCTTTTTTTTAACTTTATCTAGTACTACTCCCTCACAAAAACCCTGGACTCTGGCCCAAACGAAATTCTTACCATTCCCCAAACACCCTTGCCCTTTGTCACCTTTGAAACTTTCCCCACCTTCTACCTCAAATGCTGGGGAACAGCCATTTCCATGCATCCCCAACTCCTCCAAGAATTGCTCCCTAATCACCTCAGCTGGAAATTTTTTTCACTTTTGAATTAAGTCACTCTTACGGCACTAAACTATCATATAATATATAAGAAATATATCAGGCATATGAATTATAATATATGTACCTTGTTTCCCTAAGCAATTTCAGGGTAGAGACTATCTTTTTCATTTTTTTATCTTCTCGATACAAAATGACACTTGCCACAGGACATGCAAACGTTTGTTAAGCAACAAATCAATATACAACTGTGGCTGACTTCCCTCTCAACTCAAGAGAAAGCCATGGGCTTGATAAAATACTCCAAGAAAAAAGAAGAGAAGCAAATGGTAAGTATAAAGAATTGTGTGTATAGTAATCACAACTGCTGTATATACAAAACAAATAAAAAGCAACAAAACATAACTTCATATTCATCAAATTGCCAATTACCTTATACATTCCAGCACACATGTTCTGATACGCTTGACTCATGGTGATTTCTCGGCTCAATGGGCGAACTATAACATAGAAAAAAATCCTGATATATACAAATACCTTGTTCGTTAATACAAAAAGAAAGTTTGCTACTCAAGGTTAAATTTCACTTTATAACAAGAATCTATGTATAAGAAAGCCAAGAATTTGGGACTGGTCCCCATTCTTCATGATATTCAATATAAGGAGATTCCAGTGTAAGATGATTTGGACAGAACCTCTGACTTCACTAAGATATCTACCTTAAGAATAACTCACACATATGGATTACTTGAGGACAAGAATTGTTTCACTTTCACCTTGTAACCACATGTGCCTAGTTTGGTATCTTGTGCATAGTGGCTGCTTAATAAGTATTTTCTGAATTGAAAAAAAAAAAGCATTTTGATATGGCACTTTTTTAGTTTACAAATTAATCTATCTACTACTATATAAAGTAGTCCCATTCAGACATTTAAAAAAGTCAGTCAACTTCCTCACCCCCTATTATGGTGATTAAATCTTGATGAAAAGCAAAAACATGGAGCCTCCTATTCCCTGTCTTCATGGATCATAAAATATAGACTTCAGAAAACTCCTTGTGCTTCCCAGACAAACTCTCTTAAAATCCTAAGACATTCAGTACATCTCTGTAGTACATAACTCCTCCCTACGTTGTCAGTCTATCCCATATCAAGACCAGGGTATCTTAATCTTTTTTGGTGTGGTGGTGCACTCCTATAATTCTTATTAGTGGAGAGGCTGAGGCTAGAATCACTTGAAACTGGGAGTTCTGAGCTGCAGTAGGGCTAAAGGTGATTGAGTGTCCACACTAAGCTGAGCACCAGTATGGTGAGCCCCTGGGAGCAGGTGGCCACCAGACTACCTAAGGAGGGAGGGAAACGGCCTAGGAAGGAAAGAGAAGGTCAAAGCTTCTATGCTGATCTAGGGAGACAAGGCCCATGACAGAGAGAGAAGGAATAAGTATCTGTTAAGTGTCTATTATCTGCCACAAACAAACCTTATTTTCAAATCTCATGCCATAAATCTTTAGTTGTTCTAAAGTTTTAAAATGACCCACAGTACCTTTCTTCTTTTTCTTTGTTTTTTTACTACTACGACCTTTTTGCTGCTCTTCCATTATTCTTTCCTCTGCCATTTGTGAGCTATCAGCACGACTCAATGTTGACATCAACCAGGCATAAAGAAATTCAGACAGATACCTAAAATGAGATAAGCTTTGGTTACTGCTAAATGATTTAACTATTAAGACAATTTCATAACTATAGTTTCATAGATGCTATTTAGCTATAATCTATTAGGAAACATTAAATTATAACCTGTTAAAAATATCTTAGCTGGTTCTTATTTTAACACTGCAAATCTAAAGAGTGATCTTAAGGGTAATTACTTCCATTTCTAATTTTCATGGCAAAGCTGTGCTACTGCAAAATGTTTCAGTTTTAGCCAAACTTAACAAATTGACATTTCATGAGGTTTCTTTACTTCAAACACATTAATGAAATGTTTTCTATTAAGTTAACAGAGTTGACTCTAACTCATTAAAATATTATCAAAATGCTTATAGATAAAAGTAGATCTTTTATGTTAAATATGTTCTATTATCTGAAATGGTTCAACAATAAAGGGTACCTCTATACATATAATATAAAAGAAATTAGAAATGTTTTCACTGTTTCACATTTAATAACATCATGTTCAGATTTATACTTCAGTTTACTCAATTCACTGGAGTACCAAACAATCATATTCTATGAATATTGATTTTTCAGTATTATAAACTAGCCACCATCATATTCACTTAAACTCAGTCTAAACTCTCTATGCACTTTATAAATAGCCTAAACCTCTATGAAACTAAAGCTCAATATATTTAATCATTTGAAATAGACCAAAGCACTATATTCAAGTTTTTAATTCCTAAAGTTTTTAATTCTAGGCTGTGTAAAATAATTTTCATGATCATAACCCAATACAAAGGAACCACAAAGTGACTGATATAAATCTATGGCCACTTTCTTGGCAAAATCATCAAAGTGCAAATTCCATCTACTGATTGGCTTGATTATAAAACTGTGTTATCAACTGCCACAAGGTGGCAGTATTACTAGCAATTTTTCTATTTTGTCGACTATAACCTAAATTTAAGAATTACCATGACACTTTACTAGACCAAAAAGTGAGTTTTAAAAGCCTGAATTGTTAGCTCTGCTAGCTACTTTTCTCCAATCACTACATTTCTATACCTAGAACTTCCCAAACAACATACCTGCTAGGCTTGCCACATCTTTCATTTATTAAAAGAAATGTGTTATTTTCTGTCTTTCACAAAGTTAACTTAAAAAGTATTACTTTAATAAATAGTAATTCTAAATTAATTCATTGGTAGGATATGAAACTAATCTTTTACTCTAAATAGCAGAAGTTACAAACAAATGTGTAACCACTTTCTTAGTAAAATTTTTAAAAACACTACTAATTCTAAAACCTGAAAAATCTATTCACCAGGTTACCTGAGTCTTATGGTTTAATAATGGTACTGTAAAACCAGAGCCGGAAGAAAAAGACCAGCAAATATGAGATTAAGCTTTTCTTTTTATTACTGACTGTAATATACAAATGGGTGAGTAACACATTATAGGAGTCAATACTTAAAAGGCTATAACCACAACAGTATTATCAGCATCAGTAACAATTTTACATTTACACAGAACTTTAAAGTTTTCCAAGTTCTTTCTTTACAACAAACCTGTGAAGCAGTTAGTGCAAGTGTTGTCCCCATCTTATAAGTGACAGACATGAGGCTCACAGAGGTGCAATAATTTGCCTATGGTCCCAAACCTATTAAGTGTCAATACTAAGACTTCAACAAACTGATCTATTTTTCAAGATTCTAAATAAGTCTCCTACTTGACTCACAATGAAAGTTCAAATATACTCAATGGAAAAGTAACTTGCAAAAATATTTTGCAATGGTCTCTTCTTTCCATCTCCTTAACATAGAACTTTAAACAGTGTTCCCTTACCAATATATGTAGTAGTATTCATGCATACTGTACAGTTCCAATTCAAAGCCACTTAGAAGATACTGTATCATAATTCGAAGGTTATGATAAAGGACCCAGGTACCTAAACAGGCCAAATGTTGTCTCTGAGGTTCCTGTTTCAACAACATACTGTGAAGCGCAGCATCAACTTTCTCTGCCTATTGGAATAAAATATTTTAAAACACTGTCATAAAAAAGAATTTTAATTAAGACAGTGGAGAAACTTAAAAAAATAAGGCAGGGCAATAAGTGAACAGAATGGAAAATACAATCCCATCTTCCCATAAAAATCATAAATTCTAATGGGCTTTTTGGGTTAAGTTCATACCCCCAAATCCTCACTTAGTAAAAGCTGACTAATTCTTCTAAATGTTTTTCCTATTATCATCTCCGTTTTATTTTAGAAGATAAAAATACAAAGAGGTAGTTTCAATCAATTCTATACTCATACCACTAGATAATACTATATTCATAATTTACCTATAAAATTTAGATTTTTTAGTATAAAGTAAACGTGGTACAAACACTAAAGCCCAATTTATAACTTCTCCTTTTTTTAAATGTAAAAAAACCCCACTTTACTTTTTAATACCAGCTTGTGGGTTATTTCATTGAAAACATTAAATTAAATTTTAAAAAACTGGACTCCTTTCTCAATGAAATACTTTATATTTGCTTTTTAAATACAATCTACTCTATGAGATAGATTAAAATAAAAATGCTGACTCAAATCTGGAATGGTTTAAAGAATATAATAATTTTGCTGACAAAAATTAATTTTATAAATTGTACTTTTCTGGTGAAAAACATTTGTTAGCTCTTACTTACCTCGTCCTGCAAGGTAGCAAATTCCTCAAGAATATGACCCAGTTTATCTCTCTGACGAGCCCTGTTATGCCCATGGATCTGAATAAGACTACAGAATGGCTGAAATACATACCATGTGTTAATCATTAATGTGAAATTCAATCTATAGAATTCATATTATAGAAATTTGACATTTACAAGATTTTTAATATCTGGTATTAGGATAAAATGCTGCATTTTATACATTTTATCTCTCAGTTACCAACAGTGAAAACAAAGTAGCTATTTGTGAGATTTCTATGTATTTTGCATCTGTCCTTCAGTCTATCCTAAATTTTTTAAACTGTAGCTGTTATGAAAAGCTGTGAATACTGTGTTGAAGGGTAGAATTCCTTTCCTGCTTATTTCAGGCCGTTCTATGCTATGTGCTTTTTCTGACATGCAAGAGACCTGAATATTGGTCCTTCTAGTACTACTTCTTTCCCATAATATTTTTGAATAAATTTAAACTACAAAACTTCATCATATTCAGATTATAGATTTTTTTGTGGGGTATGAGGGAGTGGGGAAGAGAAAGAATAGTATAATACTTTTTGAAATAACCTATCACTTTACATTTGTATCTTAAAAAAACTTTAACAGAAATTATCTCATCTGATTCACACAACCACCCTGTAGGATAGGTAAAAGCAAGTCTGACTGCTCTCATTTTGGCAATATATGCCAAATGATTTGCCCAGTAGTAACATAGTGATAGTCAGTAGCAAGGATGGGATCCATTTCTTGACTTTTAGTGTTCTGTAAACTATACCATTTAGGCCATCATACACCACATACCACAATAAGTTCCAAACACATTATATGACAAATAGAAATGGTCACAATATTTAAAAAATAAAACACTGAGAAGAATGGAAGGAGGTACTTTTCAAAGGAGTTAGGGGGAGAACTTTTAACTGAGTAAAATAAAGATGATCAAAAATGATAATTCCAAGTAGATAAAATTTTTAAAAACTTTTTCATGAACAAAATCAATGCAGTTAGGATATAGGGAACTGTGTTAATTGGGAAGAAAATCTCTGCAGGAAATATTTAGGACAAAAGTTTGACAAGTAGGATATATGTGGGATTAACACATATAAAGAATCCATAATGTATAAGCATTCAAAAGGACAGAACAGTTTTCAGAAGAAAAAAAGGAAAATGACCACTAAGCTTATATAAAAAGTGCCCTAAATCACTCAAAGTTTAAAACTCTGAGGTTTCATTTTACACTCATCAAATTAGCAAAGATGATTAATAACAGAAATAGTCAGTAAAGGAGTAATAGGAAAACAAGAACATTAATAAACTATTGATGAAACTGTGAATTGGCTCATATAATGATGTAAGTAAAGTAACTCTAGTGTTCATACTCTTTGACCCAATGATCTACTGAAGACTTCAAGGAGATTAATGACAAAAAAGAAATGTCAATGACAGAAAGAACATCCTATATATTGCAAAACGTTCATATCATCATTCTGTGGTATCAAAAAAGTGGAAACAAAATGGGTCGAATTGATTGAAGAACAGTTGACCAAACTGGCATTGGAATAATACCGTGCCATAATAAACAATGAATATGAAGTATTCAGAAAAACGTGTGAAGATTTGTGCGAATTCATACAGAACAAAGTAAGCAGGAACAAAAGAATCACAAATACAATGATCACAGTGAGGCAAAAAAAAACAACCCCAAGAGCTCAGATCAAATGCAGGACCTAATCTTGACTTCAGAGGATTGAAGAAACACGTCTATTTTCGGCTTCTATTGGGGAGTGCTACTGGGAAACGGCAGTGGGATTTTTTTAAACATTAAAAACAAACAAACAAAAACACCTGGTTGCATGACCAGGAATAAAAATGAGCAAGACTATATGAGTCTGTATTTGCATATAAAACAGAAACCAGAATAAGATCAAAGAGCCACCTACTAAAGTGCTTCATGGGAATTTATTTAATAAGTAGATGCAAGATTTTTAAAAATTTATTAATTTTTAGTTTTCAACATTCACTTCCATGAGATTTTTGTCTAAATTGATATAAGTTATTAAGTACAATGAGTATGACCAGTTCCAGGAGGCTGACTATCCTCTCTAAACTTTTTATCTCCTTAAGCATTTACCAGGAGGCACTTACACAAGAGGCTACATATGCTACTTAAATTTAAGTGTCTGTTGAAGTATGGATTCAAAGTACTTTAAAAATACTTAAAGATGGCATTAAAGGAGTTTATACTTTGGAAATAACCTACTGAGCATCTAAGTTTCAACCTTTTTTCTTACAAGCTTATTTGCACTATTAATCTGCTTGGTAAAACCATTTATTTGGAGGTAATATAGCAATAATTGGGAAACAGCAGGTATAAATTTAACAGAAATCTCACATTAATGGTCCCAAAATTACTGAAGTGTTCACATATAAAAAAGTTTTTAAAAGAGAAATAATCTATTACTTCTCAAGTTATTCTTAAATTGTAGCTTAAGCTTTAGACTATTATAAGCTAAATTGAAAAGTGGTCTTTCTGCCTTGGAGTAAGGTATCCCTATAAATGCACTTAGATGTTGATAGAAATAAGGCAATTTTAAATTTCAGGTTCAGGGAAACCATTTAATTTCAAGTAAAAAAAAATATGCTATTAGGGTTTTGAATAAGAAATAGGATTGATCAGTGGCATGCTTATGCCCTTATATTTATGATGGAAAATATGGTTACTTTAGTCATAGAGCATCGACTAAAGTTCAAGTAGGAGATGACAGAAATCTATTAATTACTGGTGAAACGGGGTGACAAAACAGATTAGCCAACACACGCTACAATGTACTAATATTGAGAGATTATATTCCACGTTGCATTTTACCAACATTATAGTAACCTGCTAGTCTATGCTAAGTGAATTCTTACCCGAACACAGTGAGTAACAAAGGAGTCAATACAGTCCTTAGCCTGGTGATTATTATACAGACAGCACCTGTAAGACAATTGTCAGGAAATTAAATTAAACTATATTTGGCTTGGGACAAGGATTAGCAATTTCTTTAAATCTAAGTACCATCAACTGGGCTACATGCCTGTGGGTGCCTCTGGCAAACCTAAAATGCAAGTAGAGAAGAAGGAAAAAAAAAACAGCACAAAAAGAGAAAATGGTAGGGAGTGGCAAAATGCCAACAAATGCCACCTTACATATTGTTATGTGGCACCAGGCCAAAAAAAGTATCCTCACTATTATGGGTGCCATTATAAGAAGGAAACTTGAGACTTTATGAGAATTGGGGGTATCAAATTTAAAATAATAGAAGCTACGGTTGGGGGGGGCACTTAAGGTAGCTAACCTGAGGGGATTAACTTTCACAAAATGATACTTAACTATAAAATATAGTTCTGTTATCCAAACTATATCTCATGTAAACTAAATTTTTCACATCAAATGATACTGTTTGAAATTCCATCAATTTGACATCCATTTACATTAATATTAATACATTTTAAAGAATCTCTAATCTCATCAACACAGGTACTCTCACTCCAGCCAATCAGATCACAACCCATACATGCTTTCTTATCCTGTGACCATCATGTCCAAGTGCTTCAATAAGTTCTCCTGGGGATTCAACCAGTATGTTTTAGGGCCTTCTTCTAGGTGTCAATACTATACCAATACTAATTTAACACACAGTATGGAGGTGAGCACGAGTGCATATGTGCATGTGTGTGTATACTGTTACCCTGTTTTGCTATTTGGTCAATTTTCATTCTGGTTGTACTTCTTTTTTTATTTTACTTCTTGCACACAATTTGTTATTGGTAGTAAGTTTGCCGACTATTTATGCTTGCCATATGTCTCTAACAGTGTCTTTTGAGTAACCCACAATTTTGATTTTTCAGAGACCTTTTGATCCATGACTCAAAGCCACCTAACATCAGATTGTGTTTGTAAAAGATGACTTTTTTGTTATCAGGGCAAAGCTTGGGGTTATTGAAAGTACCCATGTTATTGAGTCCAATATTCTTATTCAATTCGGGGGCCACTTTCTTGTACATCTGCACTAAGGCATATGGATAGGTAGAGAGATATAGATACAGATATAAATATAAGTAGATAGTTCAGTTCTATAGACTGTCCATATGGATAGTCTGGACCAGATATTTTTTATCCACTTAGTTTTTCCTCCACAGATTGTTACATCAAACTCTGGAATATTGTAAATCTCATTTAGGAGACTTTGAAATTGTGTGGGGCCCAATGCAATTAACATGTCACCCAGGAACAGTTGGAGGATCTCACCATTTAAAAGGAAGTCCTCATTAAAACTGGCTCTGGGGGCAGGTAGGTAGCGCAGTGGATAAGAGCACTGGCCCTACAGTCAGGAAGACCTGAGTTCAAATCCAGTCTCAGACACATAACACTTACTACCTGTGTGACCCTGGACAAGTCACTTAACCCCAACTGCCTCCCCGCCACAAAAAACAAAACAAAACAAAACAAAACAAAACAAAACAAAACACCCTGACTCTGCATTGGTTATCCTTTGTAATTGGCAAACAGCTCTGGCAAGCATATGCCTATCTGTTTACTACTTTATTAACAATCAGCAGATCAGTGAACAGAGTTATCTCTCTTGAGATAACTTAAGACATCTTAGTATGTGTCTGCATAACTTTAGTATATGCCTACAGAATAACTGTGAAGGATGCATTTTGTTCTGCTGATTCAAAGCCTTAAAAACCCCAGCCATCAATAAGCACATTCAAACCTTGTATTCTATACACCTTTTCAACCCTGCAGTTATAAAAATGTAGTTGCTAAAGATTATCATTTATATAAAATCCTGTCTACTACACTAAAACAACTATTGGTAGAGCACTGAATTGGTTCAACTCTTCTGCTAAACAATTTAGAATTACATATGAAGTGATTAAAGCATGCATACCCTTTTGCCCAAAGATCACACCACAGAAAGGAAAGGCTTCATGTTCTGAAGTCAAAATATTCATAGCATCACTTTTTGTGGTAGCAAAGAAATGGAAACAAAGTGGATACCCATCCTACAGAATGCTTGAATATACTGTGCTATGTGAATATAATTAAATATTACAGCACCTTAACAATGACTATGAAAAATTAACAAACACATAGGAAGACAAGTATGAGCTGGTGTAGAGTGAAGCACACAGATGAGGAAGACAATTGGCATGACTATAATAGCATAAAGGAACATTAAATGAGGCCAATCACTATTTAATTAGAACGACCAGATTTTGGCCCTACAGAAAGGTGAAGAAATGCCCCATCCTCCTTTTTTTTGGGGGGTGGGGAAAGGAACATGGGTATAGATTGTGCCAGGTTCTGTTGATGTGCCAATTGTGGCAGTTGGTTTTACTTAACTGGTTTTTGTGTTGTTGTTGTTGTTAGAAGACAAGGCTCACAAAGTGGGGAATCTGGGGAGGTGGGGCTGGAAATGATGTTAAAACAAAAGGTGCTCTCCACATGTGTAAACTTTGTTCTCAAAATTTAATAGAGACAAGATAGTAGGCATATGGGTGGAAAGTATTGGTATTTTCTTGATTGCCTTTTTTTCCATAGGATTATCTGCTATGATATTTTCCTTCCTTCCAACCTATTTCCAATTATCTTCAGAATTTTTCTCCCAACATCCTTAAAATTGCTTTGCCTCTATTGCTGACATCCTCTATACAACTTGGGTTGGTCCAGGGCTCTTTCCGTCTTTGTTTTCTTTAGTGTCATTTTTACTTCTAATACAGGACACTGGAAATTGATGTTAGAGCCCAAATACAGTAAATCCATTGCCAATGATGGAAAAAACAGTCCATTATCAAATTATCAATTCCTGGCAGATTTTTTTCCATTCATTATTCTCCTTCCAATTCAGCCTAAAATGCTCTTGGGATAAAATGGCTTAACTGGATCTCAACCGAAGATTTCTACAAACTGTGTTTCCTTCCAATGATTCTCACTGATTTATGAGGCAGCACTACTCATAATTTTCCATTATGTTTGGTGCCATATCTCTCTGCTTGGGAAAGATTTTGCTGGCTAAGATGTTACCTAAATACTTTTAGGCTTGTGGCTGTTAATTTACATGAAGTAAACTATCACAGGAAATAGTAATAGTACACATTAGGATCTGTTTTTATCCATTTCCCATTTTTTTTAAAAGCATCATTATCTTGTTTAAATAGCTCGTATCTTCCTCTTATCTTTATCTTTTCTTCTACTTTGTTGCTGACTTTAATAATTGTTGCAACAATTTGATAATCTGGCTGTGTGCAAGGGGCTGATTTGGGAATACCTCCCATATCAGTAATGTCTACATAACTAATAATAATATAATAGTAATAACTAATACATACAGAATCAATTAAATTCTTTGTGGTGTTATTCAGATGTGTCCAGTGCCTTCTGACTCTCTTCTTGAAGAAAATATTTATGATCTATAAACATGATGACTTCTATAAACATTAATTTCATAGGACACTTGGATCATCTCACTTTGTGGTGATGAGGATAAGCCTTAAATAAAAAATGCCATGATGAAGATAATCATGCACCAATTATTTATGAATATTTATCATGGAGGATAGGAAGGGAGGGGAATTCTACAAAGAAGTTATTAAGACCTTCCAGATTAAAATTAATATTTATTTTTATATTCAATGACATTAGTAAGGGTAAGGAAGCTATCAGTCACTTATACATATTAATATTATTTCTTCCCTTATAATTTAGCTACAAATGAGCTTACTAAGGGAGAAAGTAATTTTGGACCTAAGTAATTTTGGAGCACAAAACACTGTAGTGCATAAATAAGCCTGGAATGGGTTGCTACAGAGGGAGATTTAGAGCAGCACAAAAACACTTAATACCTGAAGAGAGAACTACGATGTTAGAACAAGGTATGAAAAAGGAAGATGAGGGGATTCCATTCTTTCTCTTCCTCTCTCCTGTACAGATTGGCTTCCAGGACCAGGGATCAGGTTAATAATATTATTTGGACTTTTGTGGGCTGATCTTGGAAACTACCATGTATATGATGCAGTGTTTCTATAGGGAAAAACTCTAAAATCACTACTGTATTTGCTAATCTTTAGAACATAAACCATTCATAAGTTGTATGATATATACATTGTATTTATAAATATATTTCAATATTATAGTGGCGTCTCAACTCCTGTTTTAAACTCAGTGCAAATTTGATCACTGAGAGGTGGAACAAAAGAGAACAAGTAGAGTGCCAAGCCTGTTATACTAGCCTTTTGTTAACTTTGCTCAAACTTATCAATTATAATCCTTCAAGTGGTCACTTTGATTGGCTGGAGTTAGTAATAATTAAAGAAAATTTCATAAAGAATTTTATCTTTTTCCAGGTAACTCAACATATTTTCTCTTTTGCCTATACTTCATTTATCACAAATCTAACACTGAAAAATCATTTGTATCTGCTTAATAGACAAAGACAGATGATCATCAAATGGTTAAGTCATTTGCTTTAAGTAAACATTACTTCATAGTATAAGTAAAGGGAAATTACTTAAAATTTCTTAAGATACTTACTTAGGGGACAGCACCGGAGGACTGACAAATGACCGAAGAGCATCTTTCACCATGTCTTGCATGAGATGGGTCCCAAAGACCTTTTTGTTATCCACTAGAAAAGTAGTCTTAAAGGAAATGTTAATTCATTAGAAATATTTCCATGATTGTCATATACTGCTATTATAAACAACTGCCATTATTGTGAAATGAAAGGCTATTTAAGCTGCTGTAAAGAAAGATACCAGAAGAATGAAAGACAATGATTAAAATGTCTAACTACATGAAAAGATTGTGTTATTGACTCATTGATGAAAAGGTATACTTTCCTTTCTGGACTATAATATACTAGAAGAAGAATAAGAAAATGCTGCTACTGAGCTCTCACCCAAAATAAAATAACTAAAATGTAGGAAATAAAAAGCACATAGTAACTTCACTGAAAAGTCAGACCAGAATCTATGAACCCAGTCAAACTAAGCTGAGCAGTGAGGTGAACTGAATATATTCAAATTCTTCTATAATACTTACTTATTGAAGTAATAGCAACATCGTATTGAAAGCAGTACTGTATATGTAATACAGGGTTCATAATTTTATTTGTAAGGCTTTTTTTCTGTTCTTTGTACATGGAAATGTTCATATTTGTTAAGTACACAGTAAAACAGAAAACAGAAAGTGGTACTTCAAAGTAACTTTCTCAAGCATGCCAAAAGTAAACTTTGAGCAACCAACAGTATTTTGCACGGATTTTTAAAATATTTAACACATCTTAATTATTTACTGATATTTACATTTAAAAAAATCAATTCTTCAACTAAAAGTACAGTTCTATAACTGAATTTCCTTTAAACATTTATTTTGCATTTAAAAAAATTACATAACAATAAGAAAATCAGTGTATAGGGAGATAATTCAAAACTAATTAACTTACTTGTAGGAGGGATCTTGAAAGAACACAGGGTGACTGCTCACTAAATTCACAGAAAAAATCCTAATACATATTCAGGGAAAAAAATAATAGTATTAAAAATTCAAAAGATCACATAATTCACATATAAAAAATGACATGGATGTAGCTAGTTGTTTTTTTTTCTCACAGCTACAACAAACAAACATCTCAAGATGACAAATCTGTCCATTTTAGAACTACCAAATTTTATTTATAAGCACAATGGGCAATTTTAGGTCTCTTTTTAAAGAAAATTAGCCAAGCTTGCTACAGTAACATAGATTCCAGAAGTTATTTTTAATGTGTACAAAGCATAAACATTAATATATTAATAATGACTGACAAATGCCTGCTTATTTCAGGAAAAAAAAAGGACTGGAAACGATTCTACTAAATTCTTATCACTGAAGTTGCTGGCTACAGTAAGACTTTAAAAATATTTATATATTTTGTAGCATTATTCTAAGAGTATAACATTTCAGTAAAAAAATCTTCAGATTTATGAAGGCTAGAAAAAATATATTTGGTTTTTTGTTGGTAATTTAGTAAAAGGTACTTAGCTAGGCATATCAACCTTGGTGGGAAGAAAGAAGGTGAAATTTAAATAAATATAAAGTTTCTAGTTATTTCTCTTGCTGAAAAAGATAACTCTGTACATCAAGGGACAAATGACTACTATCGAGCCAGGAGGTCGCTTATTCTTTCAGTGATTCTTGGGTATCTCAATTTCAAATTAAAAAACAAGTACACTTGGGCCTATTTCCACTTCTGTTCAATTTCCTTTTCCCTCCCTCTTTGTCCAATTCCTTGAACCTCTTGTTTACCTATGCGTGTTACCTTTACTTCAGATAGAACAAGTCTTCTACAACCTGACTTCTGCTCCCTTCTGTAATGAAATAGCTCTAAGATGACCACTAACTTCCTTCTTGGCAAAGCCAATGGCTTTTTAGTACTCAACAATTCCTAAAGGCTTAGAATCCCCATGTCAAAGATTTATATTAACTAGAGTGAAGTTCTTTTTCACACCAGAAATTTCTCTACTTACCAGGATACAGTGTAAATTTGTTAGATTGACAACTTCACAGACAGTTTTTATTCTATCTATAAGTTTTGCAAAATAGTTGACCATTTCTTCCCTTTTGATTATTTTTGCATATCGAGGGAAGGTAGGAGGAAGCAATCTCTGGTTAACAAGAGGCTCAAAACCCATCATAATAGGATGATCTAAAAGAAAAAAAAAGATTTTTTCCTTCATCTTTCCTTCTAATTTTAACCTTTGCATTAAGTAATTTAAAATATATTAAGTGAACCTCTGTAAAGCAGAGCAAGATGCCAGCTTGAAAGTTTCTCAAACAAGTCTAAATATATTGGTTTTTTCCCATATATTTTGCAATTTTCTGTTCCTGAACTTGCATAATAATAAGACTGTTAAGATTTAATAACTTCAATACATTTGACCTATATCTACCTCCTCTGGAGGTGTGAATTATATACATAATGGAGGATATAATAAGATCCCTATGACCAGCAGAGTTATAGTCTGCATAATACTTCAATACTGCATAATACTTACAGGTTTATTTCTGGAATTCACATTATTTCAACTAAAGACAGCCTGTGTGAAAAAGATGAATAAGGAAGAACTGGTCTAACCCCTTCTATAAAAATGTAGTATTACTTTTTATGTTGATAGATACAAATCACCAGCCTAAACCCCTCTCTGAAGCTTAAAAGTGAAGTAAGCTCTCCTTGAAATAAGCTAAATAATTAGGCATTTTGATTTCAAAGGACTTCATCGCTGGACTACATGCAGAGGTAGGATTCAAACCAGGTCTTCTAATTCCAGATCTACTGTTGCTCTTTCTGATACACAACACTGCCTCTGGTGACTATGTTTATTGTGATAAATACAACAATTCTTCTGCCTTTATCTTACATGGTTTTAGAATATCTGAAAGTACATTTTCCAGCAGGCTTTTCCCCCATGTCATCCTGATATTTATCATCTATAGGCCAAAGGACAGATTCCTGACTCCTCCTAATTAGCCTCTACTTTCGGTCTCTCATCTGTTTATATATCTTTCACAAAGCTGTCATATTAATACTCTTTAGACTGAGGTCTGATTCAACCACTACCCTGTTAAGAAATTGTTACTGGTTCCCTAATATCTTTAAAATACAAATTTCTCAGCCTAATATTTAAAACCTTCCTCAACACAGCTCCCACCTACTTTTCCAGAATTGTTTCATATTATTCCCCCATTTGTACACTCTATTTTCCAGTCAAATTAATTTACAAGTTGGTCTCCAAACTTAGTAAACCATTCCCATCTCTGTGCCTCTTAAGACTCCTCAAGCTTCCTTCAAGGCTCAACTCAGGTGCCCCTTTACCTGAAGCCCTTCCTCACCCTATAGCTACTGATGTTCTCTCCTTCCTCAAATTATATTAGTCCATACTTCTTCATCAGTGTACATGTTTTATCTCCTCTGTAGAATGTCTGCTAAGAGCAGGAAATGTTTCAATTTTGTCTCTGTATCTCGGGTGCTTATCACAGTGCCTTGCATACATGTAAAATTGTTGTTCAGTTGTTATTAGTCATGTATGACTAATGTATAACTCTTTGTGACCCTTTCTATTTGAGGTTTTCTTGGCAAAGACACTGGAGTGATTTGCCATTTCCTTCCCAGCTCATTTCACAGATGAGGAAACTGAGGCAAACACGGTTAAGTGACTTACCCAGGGCCACATAGCTAATAAGTGTCCGAGGCAGGATTTGAACCCATGTCCTCCTGACTCTGGCCGTGGTGTTCTATCCACTGCTGCAGCCTCATATATAAAAAATATATATCTAGCTGCCTCATATATAAAACAGGCACTTTTAAATTGCTTGTTCAACTGAACTGCATCTTTAGACACAGATATAAATGGTTTCATTTTCAAAGTACTATTGAATATACATCTTAAATGTTGTCCATAATTATTTTTTTTCACCTTAATACCACACTTTTCAGCTTTGAAATAGAAGCAGTAAGTTATGAGCAGCAACTCAAAAAAACCTAAAATATCATGTAAATAAATATTAATGGGAAATGGATACTATGAACGTATTGTCTGCACAATACTTTCTGTTTAAACACCACAATAATCCAATTTAACATTCATTTTTGAAACCAATTCCTTAAAAGTATAAAAATCCTCTGTCCTACTTACCCTACTAGGAAACGAATCTCATTTACTGTATATACTATTTCACCCTAGTTCAATATCTACATTATCACTCGGTAACAATTATATGTACATAACTACCAACAGCCAATCAGTAAAAGAAAGGATCAAAATTTCTACTGTTTATAATATTTTTAGTAAAAAAAAAAGTTTAATTACCCTTTTAATTTTCAATTCTTTGGTAGTCACTTCATCCTAAAGTCTTAAATCTATTTCTTACCTAAAACTAAATCTTTCTGGTCACTTTTCCAGGCAAATAGTTTGTTCAAATTACACAGCTTAGATAAAAAATCTGTTTTTCTAAATCCTTAATTAAAAATTCTGTCAAGGTGACATAAATACAAAGTCTAAATTTCTACTGAAAACAGCCTAAGGACTTAATGTTATAAATAAAGGACAAAAGGAAATGGTGCATGCACATGCACACACAGATAGACAGATAGAAACACACACACACACACACACACTATATACACATATACAAGTTTGGTGCAAGATTATCACCAAACTGGAAAAGGAGATGAAAAGTAGGGTGTAACAAAGAGATAAGAAATTATTTACTTGGTTTCCAAAAGTATTTGGTTTTCAAAAAGGATCTGAAGCAGTATGATACCTGAGAGTTTAATTTAAAGAAAATTTAAATAAGTTGTATTCAGAGGGTAAGATCTTCAAGTTGGTTAAGAATGTATATCCTGTTAACAAGTAACTATGAAGGGTGTTTAATTATGCAGGGACAGTCAAAATAATGCACATGGTGATTTTAAAGAAAACCCAGGCGGCTTAAAACGAGGGAGAGTAGAAGCTTTGTCAGAACTATGTTTTTTATTGGGGGGGGGAAATATATTCTTATGTTTTTCTGTGGGTTTACTATAAATCCCTTGATCTGCACTTATGAAAATGTACTCCAACCAACCTTTTGCTCCTAATTCCAATTAAATTATAAGTACCTTTGATGCAGGGAATATCTTTTAGCTTTCCTCATTAAATTACCTTGAATAGACACGACATATTTACAACAGACATTCAATAAATACTGAAGTTTGAATAAAGTTACAACTAGTCCAGAAGTGAAATTACCAGGGACTAGTTAAAGTGCAAGGAAATAAAAATAGGGAAAAGGGACACTGCTGCCAAGAACAAAGTACCTGGGTCTGATAAACCACCACACAAAGATGTTTCTCCATCAACAGAAGCATGGTGTATTAAGATTGATGATGTAAGAGTATAACACAGTCTTTTAGTCCTAACTGCCATTAACTAGTAGTATGAACTTAGCCAAGTCATTCAGCTACTCTGGTCTTCTGTGATTCCTCACCTGTGAAATGAAAAAATTTTTAATGGTCTTATTTTCCGTTTATTACAAATTAAATTAATAGCCTGGAAGCCGCCGAATAAGTGTGAACCAAAAAAAACTGGTTAAGAGCAAAAATTAGAAGTCGATTTTTCCCGGGAGCCAAGATGGCAGAGTAAAGAGGTAGTCACTCTTACCCTCCCCTATCAACCTTTGAAAACCCAGAAAATACCACCCCAGGGGAAAAAAAAAAACGCTGGAACAGCTAAACTACAAGAAAGACAGGGAACAGCAGTGTAGCAGCCCAGCAAATGAATCTCCCAGTGCCTCAGCGAAATAAGTGAAGTAGCACTACAAAGGGCCCCAGGCAGATAAGCACCCTGCAGCATTCATCTAAAAGGAGCTGAAGAAAGCAACCTAAAAGTCCTCCTAGAGTCCAAGCCTTGCTGATTCCAGCCCAACACCACGTAAGCTGTCAGAACCTCCAACTGTCAACCAGAAGAGATCCTGAAGCCTACGTGGTTGAGCAGGCAAACACCAACACCTGGACCTGAGAGTGCCTCAGTGAGGGTGGGGGGAACCAGTGGAAACCAGCTCAGAAAACCACCAGGTGCCTCGGCACTCTACAACAAAGAAATCTCCCAGTGCATTAGCAGAAACAAGGGAGATAGCACTGCAAGGGACCCCAGGCAGATAAACACCTGGCAGCACCCATCTAAAAGGAGCTGAAGAAAGCTAAAAGAAAGGAAAAGCAAGCAATCTAGAATTGCCTGAAAGTTCCAGCCTTGCTGATTCCAGCCCAACACGGTAAGCTGCCAAAACCTACAGCCTCCAATTGCCAACATAAGAGGCCCCAACACACAAAGCCAGTGATCCAGACCTAGGCTCCCAACACAAGAAGCTTGGGTCAGTGCCCTCTGTTCCCCAGCAAGAGAGCTCAAATCTCTTTAAAGGCCAGGGAATAAAGAAATACCATGAGTAAAAAGAAACATACCATAGATTCATATTATGAGAAGAGTGAAGATCAAGACAGAAATTCTGAAGAGGACAACATTGTCAACAAACCCACATCTGCAACATCAAAAGGGAATATGAACTGTCTGAAGCCCAAAAAGCCTTCTTAGAAGAGCTCAAGAAGGATTTTAAAAGTCTAATGAGAGAGGTAGAAGAGTCCTTAAAAAATACAATTGGCCAATTGGAAAAAAAGTACACTGAAGAAAACAAGTCCCTAAAAAGCACAATTGGCAAACTGGAAAAAAAGTACACTGAAGAAAACAAATTGCTTAAAAATACAATTGGCCAATTGGAGAAGGAAGTACAAAAACTAACAGAAGAAAACAATCTGTTAAAAACTAGAATTGGACAAATGGAAACTAATGACTCTATGAGAGAGCAAGAATCAGTCAAACAGAAACAAAAAAATGAAAAAATAGATGAAAACATAAAATACTTCATCAGTAAAAAACAACCTGGAAAATGGATCCAGGAGAGACAATTTAAAAATTATTGGACTACCTGAAAATCATGATGAAAAAAAGAGCCTGGACAGTATCTTTCAGGAAATCATAAAGGAAAACTGCCCTGAAGTCCTAGAACCAGAAGGTAAAATAGCCATAGAAAGAATACACCAGTCACCACCTCAAAGAATTGACAACACCAAGGAATATAATAGCAAAATTCCAAAATTACCAGATGAAAGAGAAGGTG